ATGATAGTGTTTGGTTCAGAACCGATGGAACTACGAGGAAGCAAAAAAAATGGCCGGCCTCACACTATCGACGGCTAACTGACTAGAACGCTGTAGAATATGAATCCTCCCACAGGACAAGGCATCGCTAGGGGTCAGACTTATTTTGAACTCTTTTTGTCGAAGAAAACATTGAGACTAAGTATGCTTGGAAATGACTCCTACTCTGCACTTGTAAATCCCCTGGCTGCTGCTGATTCTATACCTTAAATTTTTTTTGTATATAACGTTATAAAAAAAGAAAGACCGCAGAGTTTCTTTCCGATTCTTCTCTGGATAAGTCTTTGGAGAATCGGTGGTAGTTTGTCGTTCAGTAAGAGCTTAAAACAAGCCTATGTTGAATAAAGAAAAATTTGACTGACTTTAACAATGTATATTTAATATTGTAACACTGGTAATTGTTGCATTTCTATGCGATTTTATTCTTTGCTCTAAGAAAGCGAAGTAGTAATTCAGCCGTGTGAAACCCCGAGGCACGGCTAGTGTCGTAACAATGTCGTCAACTAATTTAGCAGATTAAATTTTCTTCGACATGTGACCGCGCAAAGATCAATAATAATATGCGTGCTATATGACTTCTGTTTACGTAAGCCTCAAAGAGGATGATTACGTAAGCGATCGAAGTCGTACGCGGCCGTTGGCGGAGTGACGTCACTAATGACGTTATGCGGTGCATCGATAACGGGACGGGGAGCTGCTGCCCCCTACTGAGGGGCCTCGCTTGAAATCCTCTCGTTTTCATGAAGGGAAAGGAATAGTTCCGAATCTTGAGGCGTGTTTGCGACTCTCGCCTAATATGACACCTCGCAGAACTCGCAGATCCGTCGTGAATAATGGTCTTGAAATATTGAGGCAATTATTTAAACATCGTACCTGAAGAAAGAAGATGTTTCGATATTATCGTGAAGACTGGCATTAATTGGTTACGTGTTTTCTATATTAAAAACAAGACTTCCATATTTCTGTGTAGCCTTAACCGATATACTTGTATTTAGATGATTTATCTGGCGTGTGGAAATGAAATTTGACTGAACATGGCAACTGATACTGATGTCACTTTGACCGTTGTATGCAATAATGTTTAATAATAATATAGATGACGTATATTATTATTAAATCTATACTGCGCGGCGTTTATAATGTGACGGATGATATAGACCGTATGATATGGAAAGAGATAGCACTCTTTAGAATTGTATGATATTTGTATTTAATATCATTTGTTGTGTGATAATTACATTACTCATACAATCATCTCTATTATATTATGAAACGTACAGGCGGAGATATTCGCGTCACTTTGATTCGTCCGCCCTTGGTGGGCGACGGGGCTTATGTGTAATAAAACGGCCGAAGTTCTTTACGCGAATGCGATCGATAGCGTAACATGTCGGCGCGAACCGCTATAGCTTCGGAGCTGAGCACAGGCTTACGTGTTTCGAAAATAGCCAAACTCGCCAACGGCACGAAACGTCCCATCAAGATTGCGTCGCAACCGGTACAACAATTTCTGTATAACGAATAAGTAATGATTACTTTATTTTATGTGAGAATGTAAGCGAATGTCTGGTCTCCCGAAGTTAAGTGATAACCGCCGCCCATTGACAGTTGCAACACCCGTAGGATTGCAGATTTCGTCTTTATGTCAAATTAAATTTGTCTATACAATATACCTCAGAGGTTTTGAATGTTTGAACGCACCATCAAACTACGCAACGAACGGGTGAACTACACTCTTATAATACTGTTTACTAAATAGTTCCTATAATGTTATACCCGGTTGCTAGTGTTCTGCTTTTTGTGCCGCATGCCGTATGACTTATGTAAGATTGAGAGAAACCACACCACTACAAAAAGTTAAAGCAGCCCAAAAAATTGGTTTGAGTGAAGTGGGCTATGACACATTGCTATGACAGATGACACATTCGAAGAACCGTAGGCTGGTATTTTCAGAAACTTGTGTAAATTCGTTTATTTTAGAAGGGCAGGTCAATAGTAGATAGCAGCAGCTTGGTGGTGATGATGGATGGCATTAAAGGTCTATTCATTTGGCGATCAATATAAACTAGAGCAATTATATAGGCCAGCATAAATGATATTGTGACGGAACCTCATCGTGGTTTCTTATTAGGTATGTTATCATATTACTGACCCCTATAATTTGATTTTATACGTCTTGTTAGCAACAAATATTGCCTTGTAATTCGTCTTTTCGTTATTTATCATCGCCCTCGTGAATTGTCCCGTATGTTCTTACAGTTACGTACTGTTTTGCTTTGACGTTATGTACGTAAATCGGATGTCTATTTTGTTTGAGTAGACTATCTATGCATGTCCCACTGTTAATAAAAGTCGGATATTCCTACGCAGATTATAGTAAGGTATAAATGGCTTAGGACGCTGGTTTTTTGGACATCGGGTCCTGCTTAAGCAATTTTATGGATTTATAAGGACGCCCAACATAAAGTGGTCTTGTGCCGCCGCAAAGCAGTGAGCCATGTTGCACTACAGCGGAGTACTGGTGCATTCCGCTAAGCGTGGCAACCGAGGGGGTTTTAGTTGGTAAAACCCCTACTATCCCCCCGCCCTCCCCTCCCCCTCGTGCCTTTCAAAGATAGACAATCCATAAACTCTTTAAAGAATTTCGTAAAATCAATTTTCTGGGCAATTTTTATCGTAATCTTCAACCACGTGTTAAGCAGCAAATAAAATTATAATTTTCTATATCATCGTTACTACTCCGTGACTTTTGAAACTCTGTGCGGGTCCTAACTAACACAGGTTTAATTGTATAGTGCGATTGCCACCATTCTGGACCTGATGGTGTTTATTGTGGCGGTGGTGGTTATATTTTATGACCAACAAATTGCATCATCATCACGATAATTACCATGTTATTTATTGCGTGCGGGGTGTTTCGGGCGAAAGGCCGCCGCCTCGCGCCAGCGGTGGCCACAATTGAATTACCAACACGCGTAGGTCTTCGCTAAGTTCAAGGCTGCGTGTTACGGCCGGGGTAATGCGGGACACGCGTGCGTCTTGCTCCTGTTTCTTTAAAAACCGGCCAAGTGCGAATCGCGTTCGCGCCCGATGGGTTCCGTACCATTATCTATAAAACGGCAAAAAAAAATCATGTCTGTTGTATGAGAGCCGCACTTAAATATTTTTTCTTTTATTCTGTTTTTTTTTAGTATTTGTCGTTATAGCGGCAACAGAAATACATCATTGTGAAAATTTCAACTGTCTAACTATTACGGTGCATGAGATACAGCCTAATGACAGACGGATCGGATCTTAGTAATAGAATCCCGTTTTTACCCTTTGTGTACGGAACCCTAAAATGGTATGCACAAAGACTAACATTACAGAACAAAGCATTTAAAGGATCACTGATATGCGAAACTTTCGTACAACCTTTCTGGGGTTACTCCAAGGATATAAAAAATATAAGATTGTCCCTTCAGCGTTACTAAGGAAGGTTAATGTATGTGTCATTCGTGAGCGTTTGTCCACTAACCCGGTTAGTTTTCTATCTAAATAGGAGAGAGATTCTTTTGGACATGTCCTCTTCTCTATATCACCCTAATCATCTTAGTCTCTCGTCGCGCTCCGATGAAATTCCGCGTCGCGCAAGAAGATAATGGTCCATTGTTTCCGCGTAATCATTTTCTTTATTACGCCTGAGACGTATAATAGTGCACGCTACTTGTACCGCAAACATCGTTTTTTATTTCAGATTCGTAGTTAAACAAGTGTATTTTGAGTACTTTATGATGGTGATACCCTCTTGGATCAGTTTGGATCGAGACAGCTTTGCCATCAGAAATTAGGCTATGGGTCTATTACGATGCATCGAAGATTTTTGGGTATTCGAATACAGTAATATCTCAATGCCAAATGCGTACGGTTAAAGTTATTTTCAATAAAAAATGTATTGTCTTTAAAAACTCAACTCATTCAGCTATTATTTACACAAACTTAATGTTTAATAAAGAGAATAAACAGCCATCAAAAGTGTCGACATTATCCTTACTCAATTCGTAGTGCCATCACTCGAGAAGCAATAAAATTTTCCCAAGCGAAATTTACACTTCTTTCAATCAATTACCAAAATCTACAACCGGTTCTCTAATTCACATCCATACATCGAAGAAACGGCGAGTAGCTCTGCGTCCAAATACACATTCTCCTAGATAGTGATCAGTTGCTAAAGTCAAAAAAATTGTACTGGAACGTTTGTGTGTTAAACGCTATTATAAAATTAGTGATTATTTTAATGATAACACATTCCGGAAATGAATTGATCGCAGGCTCTTTCAAGTGAACTTTAATACATTGTAAAAATGTTATTTTTGTCAAATTATGATTTAAATAAATTATACCGCTGAGTTTCTTTCACTGGTTCTTCTCAGCTCAGTGGCTTTTGTTCCGAGCCGGTTGTAGTATTTTGACAATCGATGAGTATTGGGTAATAATGCTTCTTTATTTTATGAAGGTGCTACCATTGAGCAAGACTTGTTTCCGCGCATCCTACTCTTTTCTATATAATCAATCGGCTGTCGAAATGGGTCGAAATAACAGTCGAACGTTGTTTAGTGATCCAAACTCGCGTCAAACTTCAGCCTTCTTTTCTCTTCATTTAATCGATTCGCTAATAGTAGTCGAAGTACAGTAAAAAAAATAAAGTATCAGCCTATACATGACCCACTGCTGGGCAAAGGCCTCCTCTGTACAGAGGGTGTCAGGGCATAGTCCAGCACGCGGTCCCACTGCGGATTCCCACTTCGCATATCTTCGAAATACTTTTTTTTTGTTATTATTTCGAAAATGTGCAGGCTCCCTCCCTCACGATCTTTTCCTTCACCCCAGAGCAAGTGACAGTCGAAGGTTGTGTAGTAATTCAAACTCGCGCCAAACTCCAGCCTTGCCGTTCAATCGTTTCGCGCGCCCACCGTTCGCAGGACACATTCGGGCGCGCCAAGAACTGGGTGAAGGAGTTGCAGCGGCAGGCCTCGCCGTCCATCGTGATCGCGCTCGCCGGCAACAAGAGCGACCTGGCCGCCAAGCGGATGGTGGAGTTCGACGAGGCGCAGGCGTACGCGGACGAGAACGGCCTGCTCTTCATGGAGACCAGCGCCAAGACGGCGATGAACGTCAACGACATATTCCTCTCGATCGGTGAGAGTAACACTTTCACTTGTCATGTCCACGCTCGATATTTAGCGAGCAGATTAGAGCTCTGGACTTACCAGTCCTTATGTCAGATTCGCAATTTAACTGTTATGACCAAGGGGCCACTTGAGAGTAGAGACTCTAGGTAGGCTCTAAACTATTGTAGATACTTCTTTTTCTTTACAGCTTTTTCCGTATTACCTCTTTATTACATTTTTTTTAGTTATCACTAGAGACTTAAACTAAAAATAATTCAAATTTTCCCCCAGTTGTTTAATTTTCCTATTCAATCACTCATTCTTTTGTTTTCCCAAAAGAGTAGCCTTTTTTATATTCTTAAGGCGAACTTTGTTCTGTAATTTGATATATTAGTGTTACTACACTAATCCTATATTTTTTCAAAATTTCCACTTTAATCTTTGTAGCATGTGCGAAATGTCCCGAAATATGAAAGATCGATCGTTTTAATGTAATTGAAATGTCGTCGTACAATAATAACTGACAAACGGTGTGCGTCCGCAGCGAACAAGCTACCAAAGAGCGAGGGGGCCGGCGGCTCGAGTGCGGGCGGCGCGCGGCGGCTGGCGGACGGCGAGCAGCCGCGCGCCTCCACCTGCTGCAAGTGATACTGCGCCGACACGGTACGCGCACCGCTACGCCCTCTAGACCAACCACTACACACACTACACCAACCACCACGCCCTCTACACCACATCACAGCGCCTTCTACATCAACTTCAACGCCCTCTACACCATCCACTACGCCCTCTAGACGAACCACCACACACTCTACACCAACCACCACGCCCTCTACACCCACATCACAGCGTCTTCTACATCAACTTCAACGCCCTCTACACCATCCACTACGCCCTCTAGACGAACCATTACACACTCTATCTACATCAACCACCACGCCCTCTGCAACCACCGACACGCCCTCTACACCACATCACAGCGCCTTCTACATCAACTTCAACGCCCTCTATACCAACCACTATGCCCTCTACAACAGCCACTACGCCCTCAACACCATTCACTACGCCCTCTACACCAATCACTGCGCACTACGAGAAGGACTGTGCTACGTTGCACTCTCCACACACTACTTTATACTTAATACGCTCTAATAACTTCTTGATACAAAATACATACCAAAATTTTGCATACTCAATGCTACTGCACGCTACATACGCTACCCACTCAGTGCTACGTACTACTTACTATTTTTTTATGGAGAAGTTGCCAAACGAGCTGGCGGTTCACCGGATATTAAGTGATAACCGCCGCCCACGGACATTTGCAACACCCGTAGGGTTGTAGATGCGTTGCCACCTTGTAATAAAGTGGGTTCCGGCTACCTCACTCACCAGACGAAACGCAGAAGCATAACACTTCATCTTCACGCCGGCCTTCTGTGAGGTCGTGGTAATTCCCCGAGCGGATCGGGATCCCGGTAATCGGGGCCCCATGGTAAGGGCGCAGCCCTCATGTCAAAAAAACAAAAGAATTAACTATTATCTCACGATTTGCCTCTTCGTCGCTTTCAGACGACGCTGCGCGAGGGCGGCGGCGCTTGCGGGGGGAGGGGCGCGGGGTAGGGGACATCCACCCCCTCCCCCTCCCCCGCGGCCGCATGCCCCCCCCTCCCCGTGCGCCCACAAACGAAACGCCCCCTCCAGGTTCCGATCGTTTCGCGTTTGCGCGTATGAGGAAACAAAAGTTGGATGATGAAATTTCCATTGATATATTCTTATTTTCTGTATAGAAAAAAAAATATTATTATTATTATTAAATATATAATTATTAATATTAACAGCTTAATAATATATAGTTAATTGTCATATAGTATAATGAGCGCTTTCCGTACGAAAGGCGACGATTAAAAACACTACTTAAGGGATCGTAATTGTAGTCTATTGCAATACATTAATAATTGTGGCATCGATCGATCGGCGCCCGAGTTAGACTCGAGTTGGGATCGAGCTTTGGTTTCTAAACGTCAGTTTTGTTATATAACATTCACCGTTCCGTGTCGAAGATGGAACCTTGCTCTTAGGGAGATGTTCACACCGAAACATTATAGGCTGAGCACGAATCTTATGTTAGTCCAAAATTCCATCTTCGTGTTTCCCAGCTGTTTGTAAACGGCACTGGCTCGCCGAAAATTGAATAGTGCGTTTTTAATTCAATTTTCGCGTCTCCACATAGGCGGTCCGAGTGCCGTGATTACCTCGCGGGAACTTGTCACCAACGTAAAAGCATCGAGAAGGAATTGAAGCCATTATAGTCCGGTTTCAATATTTCAATCAGCTGGGTCAAAGTTCTTATACTTGAGTATTATGGAGCTAATGTCAAATACCTATCGCTAGTAACCAAATCTATCTGTAGATTGAACATTGAAACCGGCCGTAAATATGATGGTTTCTTTTCCTATTTATTTGAGTATTTTCAATCTGATGGGTAAAGTTTTGAAATGTCTACATCGCTCTCAATATCGGTTCGAATGATACACGTTGTCGAATCAATCATGCCGTCAGGAGGCCGCCTTCGTCCGCAATCAATATAACGGTGTTGGTGCATTTAAGTTCGTTTCCATTGACGCACGTCATCGCACGCCTCCGTCATATGCTTGGGGAGCTAATGCATTAGATTTGTTTACGAATGTATCTAGCGTTGGTATATAATTTGTATTATATAAAAAAAAATATTCAATGATATTTGTGAACTGTTTCGTTCAGTCGTTTCACTGCATATTTTTCATAAATTAAACATTCCAATAGACACTCTCATGCTCGATGACACCGGTTCTGCGGATCTTTATAAACAGGCATTCGCCAGTAGTCTGGCGAAAAAAAAAAAGTTTCTTTGGCGAAATACATCATTACGATGAACATGAAACCCGATCATAAACTAGTGGAAAATAATTAATGATATTTAATATGTTTCCTTTATGGAGACCGATTTACTCGGAACTGTAACTATATATACATTACTTGTACTAATCTGAGAAATAGCACCCGAAGCATACTGTCTCGGTTCGCGGGCGTCGAATGCCGCGTATTCATTGCTATATATAAAAATATTTATATACAGCGTGTCGTTACCATCGCGACAATAAATGAACACACGTCTAACGCTACTTGTCAATAATCATAAAAAAATATTAACGTTAAATAAAATCCATAATTAAAATAAAATATTTTTCAAACAAGCTAATTAAGTAAAAAACAAACAAAATTTGTATCATCCTATATAACTCGAGCCACAGCGTCGCATTACAAGCTTCTCCTTCTAACGGTATGTTTTGTCTCTTTTAAATTCATTCAACCCATTCATATGCTTTGTGATCTTTACAAATGAACTTTACGTTACAGTTTTATACGTAAGGATGTTCTAAAATTCGTTGTTTTAGAAAATTTAATTATTGGGTTAATATTGATGTTTAAAGAATGTGAATGTTTAACACAATTTTAAAAGTTATCCTCTATGTGTGTGTTCATTTATTCTCGCGGTGGTAACGACACGCTGTATAAAAATTGATATAATCATGAAAAGGCGCGTTATCATTTAAGGCTGTTCTCGTAACTATCAGGCGTTGATCATATATGCTTAGCGGTATACGAATTTGCTTTAAGGCGTTTAGGGTGTTTAATACCAATCCTCTGTCTGCTTTGTTTCTCGTTATAGTTCAAAACACACGATATGCATACACGGTTAAGTTGGAGCTTTCTGGTAGACAGTAAATTTACTTGAACGAAATAATTTTTTGCTCGTTTCATACACCGCATTACCCGTATCGGATTCAAAATAGTAGTTGCAGCCTGTAGTGTGGTGTTAAAATCTCGTTCCATGGGGGATTGGGCTCGACAGAAGCGCCCTCTGGTGTATCGGGCTCGTTGGGACCCGTGAAAACTGTGGGGTTTTCAAACCATCTTTGGCAAAGGTGGCTTGCTGCCACTCCTGTACTGTGTAACGTACATTCGCTTGGTTTGTAATTACTTAAACTATTCGCTGGCATAGGTAATTTCCGTTTTTGTATCCAGCGGTGATTGGTGGCGAAATTATCTTTTAAACCCCGTGTATTGTAGATGGTGAATGAAACATTAAGTCGTAAAGAACTTATTCCAGTTTGTCGAAGCTCGCACGTTTATTGGGTTCAAAGCGTCAACGCACCTTTAGCACGAATGAAAAATTTTGAAAAATGTCTTTTTTTCTTTAAAATCATAGACAATAATTGTCTATCATACATTTACGAAGAAGGTGTCAATGTTACAATTTACGTTCTTTCGCTGTTTTCCCCCCAAATTCGAGTTTTTCTTCCGTCCTAAAGGTGTGATTTTATTTTAAAGCCATGTTCTATGTCGTCTCAGTGTTCCCACATAGTGAATCGTTCACACATAATTTTTTACCATACGCAGGCGTCACATGATTTTATTAGAATTAGCGTAATAAATTATGTATCGGATAGAAGAGGTCCTTAACACCAGAAACGTTTGCGGTCAAGTCCTGACGCGATGTACTGAGCTCGTACAGAGTTTATATTGTTCTTCAGTAGTTGTCCCTCCGTATGTAGAGAATATCGTGAAGCGATCTTATAAATACAATGCTAGTTAAAAAAAAGAATTCCAATTGAAATTTTTATTTGATCGATTTGAGATGTTAAGCTCGTAAAAGTTTTAACGCCCTCTAGTACTCCGATGACTCCACAAGTCGTCGGGTAATTCGTATGTGGGCAATGACCCTAGCAGGTCGCCAGGGCTAGTTTGTCCTGTATCGTTCTTGTAAGCGTTGATTTTTCTTTAAGGGGTAGGTAACGTGTAACCGTATATAAGGTGTAAAATTATAAATCGTAACTATGTATTAACAAACTCCGCAAATCACTGATAAGTGCAATAATGTCGGCCGCGTCAATAATGAAACCGCTTCCGGCTTCTGTATTTCCGGGGCATTCGACACTTTCCGGGTAGCGTTTCCCCGTAAATGTAACGCATTTCTTTTTCATGGCTGCTGTCTCTTAAGTAGTATATTATTAGGGACGCTACGCGCTTAGTGACGAGCGCCTAAAAGGAAACCACATTGAAGTTTTTTAGGAATTGTACATAAATGGGAAGTTGGTGCGAGCGCCAACGGTTAGCGAAGCGAACGCGGGGTTGGAAGCGGTAATCGATTCTGAACTTTCTGTAGATGGTATAGAGTAGAAATTATAACAGACATTCGGCTAGTTTGTGTAATGCATAAAAAGTTAAAAACGTTAAACACTCCGGCGAAAGGACGTTGATCAAGGTCATATTGTATGTTTTTGTATTGTGTAAATATTTTGGATTTATTAAGATTATTATATTGAATAAAAAAATATTGTAAATGGATACCCCAAGTGTTTCATTTATTTGCACCGCTCTTCTGTTACTGACGTAAATTTGAATAATTTTTTTAAGAATCATTTCAGAACTTTATATTGGAATTAATAATAGAAATGACAATCTATTCGATCATCATCCGCCTTATTCTACCCTAGGTGGAGTCTCTGTTCATCATGTTGTAAATGGTTCTGGCTAGATTTTTGATTTTACATCGGCAGCCTGGCTGACGTCTGCCCACCCTGGGAACAAACACCCACAAGACAAAGAAACGTTCTGGAATTCATTGTTCGTAAAATACCTGTGGTTTTTCACACGTTGCCTTAGCAATTGCTCCTATCGAGTCATTAAAAGGTATGCTAGTTTCTATAATCATTAATAAACTGGTAATTTTGACTAGATTTAGAACTTTCATACATTTAGAATTCATACATTTTTCAGTATAAGTCGACCGTTAAAGAGTTACCGTTAAGATAAAAGTATATATTATATAACGAAATACAACGGTTTAGAAATGAGTTCTGGTAACAAACAAAAAAAGTACAACCGAATCGAGAACATGCTCCGTTTTTGTCTGCTAGTTATTATTAACCGCGATTAAATTTTCAATGAAAACTCAAAAAGTGTATAGACTTCATTGGCAACATTCGTACGGTAAGTTGCCGCCGGACGTGCCTGGAATTTCGATTTTTTTTTTAAATAAGAAGAGCAGAAATTAAAACAAAATATATACAACAAATGTTTATTCATATATTGTTTACAAAAACACTACTTTCCAGTAAAGAAGAAGGTTAGCCAAATTTATCCGCTAAAAATCTTCAATCGATTCACTCGGCCTACATCTGTTCTATTATAAGTACATATGTTACGTAAGCTTTTATATAATAATAATCGACTAATAATACTTAGAATACAGACGATATTTATGGTTAAAATACAGTTGTGCCTTGGCACTATATGAATTAAGCCATTAAGTATATCTTAATTATGCACTTTAATAGAAATTAAACGAAATTTTAACGTAACGTACTCTGTAGCAGACGCGTAGGTTTGTTTTCATTTAAGTATGCTTTAAGTTTGGATATGGTAGAACTACCATTATTTATCTATGCTAGGGATATAAGAAACTAGCTAAAATTAAGTTATTGCTAAAACTCCCATTTAAAATTTTACTCACAGAAATAATATTTTATAGATCTTCAGAGTATACAGTTACGTTAGTCAAATGAAGCCTAACGTCCTTTGTAGATAACAAATCAAAGAGGATGGTTGAAAAAAATTGGCTCCATCGACAACTCGATGATAATACAAAGTTGAAGAACTCAAGATTGAAGGGAACAGCGTGTAGTGTAAACGCTGAACGTGACACAGTGATATTTATAAAATATAAAATACATAGAATAATTGCGTAGTTCATTACTAAAGTTATGCTATTATAAAAACAATGCACATCAAAGTACATCGGATGACAATAAATAACGAAATGGCATTTTCATGACTAGTAAAACATCAATACAATAGTTTCGATAATTTAAAATGAAGAGAACATATGTTTGTTTCATTATAAATAGGACAATTAGGAAGTATAGAATTGAAACGATACATGATAATTTCCATCTAAACGCATTATCAGAAAGCATCTCTTCTAATAGGAAAATTAAAATTAATAAATAATAATAAGTTATTTCGTAGACCTTCGCCCAATAATTAATATTTCTACACAACAGTTATGTATTCCCAAACAAAGCCTACCTACTCGTACCTCGTGCAATCGTTAGGATATTAGGTAATTGATAAAAATAATTTTCTATAGAAAATAAAAACATATTATAAACATACTATAAACACCCAGACACTGTTGTTAATTTTTTTGTCAGCAGCAGGGATCGAATGCACACTCTATAACGCAATTGACAGGTATACATACTATCTACTTCTTATTTTGCCCACATGCCGCACTTGCTTTTCAATGCGGTTATCTTTCAGTCTAGCGTGTGGTATTTATTAAATTGTATTTAAGTACGAGACAACATTGGCACAACGATCACTTGGCTGTTAAATATTGGCGTTTTATAAAATTACGTGTCAAATATTACTTCGAGAAACTTTGGTGTAACTTCATACGGCGATAAGTAGGGGCGTGTTAAACTGCTATGTTGACCATACAATAAAACGGAAACTAAAAAATAATGTATGACCAAGGGACATGAGATTTATTTATGTGACAGTAAGAAATTAATGATAAATACCAATACAAGGTTTGGCAGCGGTGGTGTGTGTTAAGTACTCTAAACTCATCCGAATTTAAATCGAATATAGATTTACAAATGTAATTAGATGTTTACGGATGAATGGTCGTTACCTAGATTAACCTAACGTGATCAAATCAAAGAAAACCACAGTTTAAGGGCACAAGAGTACGGTCCGGTAAGAAAACGAAAAAATTCTAAGAGTCCAAACATAACCGAAAACTCATTAAAAAAAAGTCTTAAAAGCTTGAGAATGGAAGCTATAAAGGGGCGTGGCGTCACTAAACTTCCACACGTAGACCCACGGGGTATAAGCATGAGAACCCTCTAGGGATGGCAAAAGTGAACAAATATATGGATATTTATAAAAATATCAATATCGTCCTCGATATATATATTAAGATTTTCTCTTTAAGATCTAGAAACACAAAAAAAGTAACGTCAAAAATTAAACTTTTGACACATACGGACTCTGTGCCAGGTTCTAATTTCAAAAACATATCGTTTTCGATGCGATTTTGGATACTGAATATACTGTATCGATATATCGGATACAAACATATCGACATCCCTAGAGGGCGCGGCGACGCGCATGGGGGGCGACGAGCGCTCCGCCTACAGCTCGTCGTCGAAGTGGTCGTCGTGGTGGTGGTGGTAGTCGGGGTGGTCTTCGTGGTGGTGGTGGTAGTCGAGGTGGCCGTCGTGGTGGTGGTGGTCGTCGAGGTGGTCGCCCGCGTCGCTGCCGACGAAGACGGCGTGGTGGGCGAGCAGCTCGTCGCGCGACAGCCGCCCGTCGCCGTCGTCGTCCGCCGACGAGAACAGGTGCTCCACCTCCTCCTCGGCGATCTCGCTGCGGGGAGAGCGACGAACAAGCTAGGCGAGACGATCGCTACCGACTGATTTGCTCTACCGCGGGAATCGTACGAGATATAAAAGTGTATTATGTAAACTGTTGCCATTCCGTATTTCACGCAAATCTGTGCAGCGCGGGTGAAATATCAATTATTTGCATATAAATATTAATTAATGATTTGAGTGAAAGATTAATTGAGTAATTTTGAAACACAATGTTGACCACATACATTTAAATTGTTGCATTGCTTATGCATTGCGTATGTCAATTATTGTTAAACTCGTGACAATATATTGAGTAATTAAAATTACGAATGCTACCAGTCAGTAGACCACTCTAGAAAAATCCCCAATCGCTAAAATGTATAGATTTAGTGGCTTCTGCTGCGTCCTACTTGTGACAATAATGTGCCGTATCGTACCGGGATTAGGCAAACAGAAGACGAGAATTAAAATAGAGGTTTTTTATAAACCTACTTGCGTTTGTTTGTCATCTGGTAAGCGATAAAAGGCCCAGCCTCTTCAAAGTTGGTAATGCCCCCACGAGGAAGACTTCGCGTATAAACGTAATAAACGGCACTTTAAGTTAAGGACCCATAAAACACCAATAGGAATGGCAGCACTCACTTGTTGTCGGGTATTATCCAGCGTTGGACCTCCATTATGTCCAGTACGCCGTCGCGATTCAAGTCCAGCTCGTAAGTGAACTTGTCCTGTTCCGTCAGCACGAACTCCTTGTCGTCCTGAGAGCCTGCAAATTTATTAATTGTAACATCCTTTCGCATCTCCGATCCGATTTTTTTTTTTTCAATAACCTTACCTTCATTTAAGGATAGGACTTTGTATATTTTGAATTCATATGCACAGCACACGGAAAAATATTCAACAATTATACTCTTTTTTTGATGATATATTAATTAATCTGTGCGGGAAACTAACCGACGTGCAACACCGAAGCATTTGCGCCAATTGAGCATTTAAATCCTACCGTTAGCATTATTAACAATATTTAGTAAATAACATCGATTTTCTACAATACAAATTAAATAAAGGGTGGGAAGGAATAATAAAGATCCCATTCATCAACGAAAACCTGCCCCTAGAATTGTGTCAGAACCAGATCTTCAAAGGTTACATTGACGTCGAAATCCATCCATTCGATAATTAGGGCGTTAAAAAATTATTAAATTTTTCGAATGTTATTTCGTAGTAAAAATTGTAATTAAAAGTTTGTAACGTTAGCAATTACTAACTGGTTTCGGTATATTTCCATCGAGCCTTATTATCGTAAACATGGAACATTCGGGGTGAAACATATTTTACTCTAGGCCTAGGCCTGATCATTTGTCATCATTTTTTTCACGTAAAAACGTAGTAAGCGTGCTCAGCTGATGTTAAGTGACAACCGCCGCCCGTGGACACTTGCAACACCCGTAGTGTTGCAAATGCGTTGCCACCTTTTAAAAAATTGGGCCCCGGCTACCTCACTCACCAGACGAAACGCAGAAGCGTAACACTACCGCTTTACGCAGGTCTTCTGTGAGGTCGCGGCACTTACTCGGACGGACCTGACCATTCGTGAAACAGCCGAAACTGTTGCGTGACCTTACCACAACTAAATGTTTGCATTCTATATTATATTCATTTATATTTTCATTCTATATCATTCTATATTTTCAGTATTTTCACGTTTGCATTACCTCATCGTATTTTCAAGCTTGCATTACTCGCTAGCGCCTTCACGAATGTTTTAGACATTAACTCTAAAACAAAACTATGACCCGTCACGGGAGGCATAACAGAAACACGGACAAAGCTAATCGTTGACAATGGGCATTAAGCGAGGGTAGGTTTGTCAACAGCGCTCGTTCCGCCGCAAGTCTATTGTTTAGCGAGAGTAAACAAATGTGTCATACGATAGCGAGGAACGGATGCTGGGAAATTATTTTGACGGAACCAAGCAGCTTTTTGATCGTGGCAGGACCACGCAACAGTTTTTCGTTGCACGAATGGGCAGCTCTATCCGGGGAATTACCTCGAATTTACAGAAGACCCGCGTCAAGTGTTATGCTTCTGCGTTTCGTCTGGTGAGAGGGGTAGGCGGGGCCCACTTAACCGAAACACTACGGATGTAGAAAACGTCCATGGGCGGCGGTTATCACTTTACACATGTGAAACCGCTAACTCGCTTGCCTCCTTCTTACATAAAAAAACCCTAATGTATTAAATTCTAAACTTGTATTTATATAATAATTTCTTGTATTTACGCGATTACACATTACTAAATGAAACTATGTTTACGGATTTATCGCGTGTATTTTTGGTTTCCGCCCGACGACCATGGACGCTGTAAAGGGTTCGAAACGTCGGGAATTAAAAACAAAAATAAACGCGATAAATCTGTCAACATAGTTTCGTTGGGTTGGTTAGTTGGGTTATGGGTAGTAAGTCCCAACGACATATCCGAAATAACTCTGCTATAAAAACAAATAATCCTCTAAATATGCTCCGTTAGACACTCACCCCTGTCCGCCACGTACTCGTCGAAGTCGATGAGGCCGTCCCCGTCTCGGTCCCGTTCGCGTATCGTCTGGTTCACGAGGAACGGCTGCATCTCCGCGTGCTCCTCCGGGTTCGAGAACACCTGGGGGCGGCGAGGGACGCTGGTTGGCTGGACTCATCGACTCTTCGGTTACAGGGTACTAATGCTAGGACCACGTAGGGCAGCTGTTACCGTCCGGGTACGTACCACGCTCTCGCAAAAGACCGGCGTGAAGTGTTACATTTATGCCTTTTTTTTGGTATCGGGGGGGAAATCTTCAAAAGATACCCTGTCAAGTTACATGACAGGGTTATGTGAGGTTCTTACCCACTAAAACCCCCTGTACGTTTGGAGGGACTCCGGGATCTCCCACGGAACGCACCGGTGGCCCTAAGTACTGCGCGTGAGCACTCCCCGGAGAAGGATAGCTTCCCCGGTTCCCTCACCATCTTGCAGCAGCTCGAGGCCACTTAGTGCTGCTATTAATCCATGTCCCCTTTTAGTCGCCTTTTACGACAGGCAGGAGATACCTTAGTCCTATTCTATAAGCCCGCGACTACAGGGCTGGTTACACTTATGCCTGTGCCCACTTTATTATGTAGCCTGGGCCCACTTTATTATAAGGTGACCACTGCCCAGTCTAGACAGATGGAATGGACAGTTTTTCATTTATATAAATGATAGTGCGATGCTAATGCTATTTGACGACGAGATCGGCGAATGAGACGAGAAGGAAGATATGTTTTGATGTTTAGTTCTTGTTAATACCATATTTACATAGATACAATTGCAAACTGGGCGTTTATGCGTGGGTCGCAGCGTAAAATGTCAAGGTGAAACCGCATAGAGCCGTTTTAATTCATGTGGCGTTGAACTGTGTTATTTTCGATGGGCCTTTTTTTTGGTATCGGGGGTTTCCCCCCTCGGGGTAGGTGTATCTTCGCAGTGTAGTGACAGGGGTATCTTCGCAAGATACCCCTGTCACTTTATATGACAGGGTTATATAAAGTGACAGTGGGGTTCTTACCCACTAATACCCCCTTCGGGGCCGCCTTCCGTACATTTGGAGGGACTTCGGGATCTCCCATGGAACGCACCGGTGTCCCTCGGTACTACGCCTGAGCACGCCTCGGAGAAGGTTTATCCTTCTCCGATTCCCTCACGCTCTTGCAGCAGCACGAGACCACTTCGTGCTGCTGCCCATCCGTGTCCCCTTATAGTCGCCTTTTACGACAGGCAGGGGATACCTTAGCCCTATTCTATGAGCCCGGGACTATAGGGCTGCGATGGGCCTTACTTACGCAACACTCGTCGATTCGTCGCGTCTACAGATCTAGAGATCTTCATCTGTAGTGTCATAATGGTCGTGAATTGGGCCTAACCTAAATAAATCATACACTTCATTCCGTTACGCCGACCGTTATTACCTTTTAAGATGGGAAAAGTCCTTTATGGATCCCCCTGGCACGGAATCCGGCGAGTACCAGGGTTAGTCCCGGACACAAGTACCCACGTTGCACCTGCGCTATCGTATTACCTGGGAACACGAGGACCCGGCGATCCCGTCGCTAATCTTAATTACCAACCTCAAACTCTTCGAGGTCCAGCTTGTTGTCTCCGTTCTTGTCGGCCAACTCCCACATCGCCTTTTCCTCGTTGATGAGCTAAACAGACAAACAAATCGCTTTTATTTAAACCTGTATAATCACGAGTATGCATTAACAACCACAAAGTTCTCGTCTTCACCTCCCTTTTACTGCCTTATCACAAGTGGGATAAGGGCATGAGAAGTTGAGAAGGTATTGGCTCGGCTTGAGGTCAACCCTCCTTGGGAATAAACACCCAGATCCGGAACAATCATCCATGGGCCGCACAAATGCTTGTCTCTTTAAAGAATAGAACCCACTAGTCATGGCGTCAAAGCGAATATATTAGCGACTGCGCCAACAGCGACAGACACGACGTCTTCATATGATAAAGAATTGTCGGGCGGTTTGACCTTTGTCATGTGTCATCATCGCTTTACACGTTAACATTCTAAATTAGAGACAGTTTGCGAGTGAAAAATGATATATGCAATTGAAATGTGTTGGTCAAGTCTCGTCATGATGCTGGCTCACGTGTGGTCAGTAGGCGTCAAGGCCGGCGGAGGTGTTACGCGGAGGATTCCCAGGTCTCGTTAGTGCTGGTCACGTGGCCAACGTGTAGTCAGTAAGCGACAAGACAGGCGGACGTGTTGTCCGACATTATACCGGGGCATTAACGCCCGGGTGTCAGATGACTGGCGGAGGTGTTACGCGGGGGATCCCCGTGTTTCAGGGACAAGACCGGCTGAGGTGTTATGAGGGGGATTCACGGGTGTCAGAGACTATACCGGCGGAGACGTTATGAGGGGGATTTCCGGGTGTCAGATGACCGGAAGTGTTACGCGGGGGATCCCCGCGTGTCGGGGACATGACCGGCGGATGTGTTATGCGGGAGATTCTCGGGTTACGCGGGGGATCCCCGTCCGGCTGTGGCAGGCTCACCAGGCCGGTGTCGCCGGTGTCGTCCGGCGCCACGTCCGCCTCGTCGTCCGCGCCGAAGGTGTCGCGCAGGTACTCGCGCCAGGCCACCGCGCCGTCGCGGTCCTCGTCCGCCTCCGAGAGGCGTTCCTGCGCCTCCTCGCGCGAAAGTTTGCTGCCGATCCGGTCTCGGGTTCATTCATTTCAATTGACCGTAAAGCATGGCTTGGTAATTAATTTTGTTTTTTTTTAATGTGATAAGTTGGTGAGCGAGCAGGCGGTTCACCATTTTGAGCACCCGTAGGTTTGCAGATGCGTTGCTACCTTTTAAGTGGGCCCCGGCTACCTCACTCACCGGATGGGATGCAGAAGTATAACCCTCCCAGTTCATACTGGTCTTCTGTGAGGTTGTGGTACTTACAAACAACAGGGAAAACTGTTACATGGACCTACCACAATTAAGACATATTTTAAAATTACTTAATTACATACAGACATAAAAACTGAGTAGTTAATATATTTACCTCATGTTCTATAAGTGTATAATATAAAGTAAGTGTTTGAAGTAAGGTTCTTATACCTAAATTAGCCCTTCGACTTTCTAGTAAAGGCTAGAATGTCAATTCAAATGATTGCAGATAAATCCTTTACCACTGATAGTAATATTATTTCTTTATACCAATAATTTTTAAATATTTATCACATCTGTTAGTTTTAGGCTAGTTTTACAATACTTATCATATATTGTACTTTTTCAAATATATAGAATACACATGGTAATAGTCGTTGTGAATCTTGATCTTATAATATTAAGAAGTCTAATATAAAAGTTCATCAGAGTTTAATCGAATATTTATGATTTTACCCTTATATGAATCCGAGTTACTTTGCTTATAGCAATGCCATAAAACCAACCTTGAAGTTCAACAAATAATTTTTCTTATTTCATTGTAAAAGATTACCCTGTTTTAGGATAAGAGAATCCTTTATTGTGGGGCTTTTTAACAAACATAAACTTCACAAGGACACGGCCACATTCTCATAACAATCATCTACAGGGAAAACATGTCCCAAGTTTATTGTTAACAAGAGCATAAATTGAGACATGTAACACTAAAAAGTTAATACACAATTTGTTCTGATCATTTCTAAACTTCCATAAAAGCCTTAAAGTTACTAAATAATTATTCAGAATTTTGAATAAAATGACAATATTATTTTTTATTGCATATGTATCTAAATATGCGATTTCAGATGGTTGACTGATTATTGGAAAGAAACAATGGAGTTACTGATATAACTCCAATAATTTTATTATGGTTACAAAATAAGAGAGATTTGTAGACCATTTGATCGATGTAATATTTAAATGTTGTAGGCATAGCATGAAACAAATTTTAAAACATAGATACCTATCTAGATTCATAAATGTTCTTCAAAGATATGAAAATATCACTTAAAATAATTAATGATCTTGATGTGGGGTAAATTTTACCTAAGAAATTCATTACAAACAGATAAATAAAAATTTGAAAAATATTTTACATTTAAATACTGTATGTCATAAACCAATTTATTTCTCAGTTTTTGTAATATAATCATGTGAAATACAGTACTAATATTCACATTTTAAAATATTGTGATTAGCAAATAAACTTACACAAAGGAGTTCAGGATCCATTTCTTGAGCTCTTTCCGGTCAATGTATCCATCTCCGTTAGGGTCCATCTTTGGAAAGAGCAGTGCCAAGCGGCGTTTGGACTCCTCCGGGCGAAGCTTGTCATATTCCTCCGCCTCCTTCACGCTACCTATGGTGAAGTAATAAGTTGCAAAGAGAGTGGTAGGCACAAGCAGCAATAGAGCGTTTTTCACGGACATCTCGCGCCGCGCTATCGCATTTCTTATCGCAATATAAACTATTAGCCATTACAAAACACACGAGCGCGAGCGCTAGAGCCGCGACTAGCACGAATGTAATATTAAATGGGGCACCTAAGATCGCTTCGTGGTCGAATTCAGAGTTATGACCGGCGTCACTGTAGTGATCGAAATCTCGGGCACGGTAGCTGCCGTCTGACTCACGCTCTGCTGTATCAATATTGTGGCTGTGAACTGCAGCCGAGGCGCAATGTAAAACATGCGGAGCGATCAACAAAACAGACAAAAAACATTTGTAAGCCATCCTGTTACACCCTCCGTCTGGCCTATTTCAGACAGAACAGATTTATTCAAACGTTTTCTTATGCAAATTTTATTACACTCTTTATTCTTTTAATACGATATTCAGTCATCGGAATTAATAAAACCATTGGCGATTAAGCATTCAATTTAATCAATTAACTCAACACAAAGTACGCTTTTAGTTCTAACTTTTTTTATAGACTATAGAGAGAGGCATTCAGACTCTTCTTTCATTTGTCAAATTATCACCATGTTATCTTTTCAACCAATAGCAGTTGAGCTATTTTGAAAATCGTATATTGAAAGTCTATGAATAAAACTAAAATTGACATCTAAATAAATGTGTTGCATGCATTTAAAGTATGTATGAATTAAGATTTAATTACCAAAACATCTTTAATATTTTTTTTGCATTGTACCCTAGGGGCCTAGGGGCCCATTCACAATCCATCCATGCAGGACTGCGAAGCAGAATTGTTTGTGATACACACTGTCCTTTTTTCTTTTGTCCATCCATCATCAGTACTGTGTTGTTGTTATTAGATATACCTGCACGTGCTACTTCGAAAAAAAAAAGAAAATGAAAAAAAAAAGAAATTAAAGAGGGTGTGGGAAAAGAAACTCGTACTGAACTTCGTCAAAGGAAATGTAATTGCGCCTGTACCACGCTCATAAAAGATATTATAGGACTGCAAGGCCGCATGGTGAATTGGCCCCCTAAGCCTATTATTAGCCCGGCGAATTTGGCAGCTTAGTCGGAAGTGGACATGCGGGCGACTAGCGGATTGAAGAGACAACATAGCTGGTGGACAACAAACAACGAAGCGATGACACCCGTCCGTTACGGGCCCCTGGCTTGCGAAGATGGATAATTCGATTAATAAAGGGGAATACCACAAGATCCAAGGGCCCTCAGATGGAGGTTTGAACCTCGGTTTGGACCGCGTTCGCTAGTAGAACCTGTCGAGGGGATGTAATAAGGTTACGAAATTGTGATCTAATCATGAGACGTGCCTACGTCGAAGCGAACCTTACGAAAAATAAATTACGAAAAAATGTACGATGAAAATTGGCTTACGAGAATTTAATTATTTATGAAATACAAGATTTAATGTAGGAAAATAATAAATTCACGGAAATCATTAATCTTCGAACACATAAAGTTCCGTAGGTACTTAACGAGTCTCCTTATGTAGACTCGCTATTAATTAATAACAATAACAACACGACGCCAGCGATTCAATAGCAATCTGTGGATATTATGTGTGAGCCAAAATTTTAAAATCTTATCCTTTAAACGAGCAATTCTTGTATATATATATATATATATATATATATATATATATATATATATATATATATATAGATATATATAATCGGAATTTCGGAAACGGCTCCAGCGATTTTCATGAAATTTAGTATGTGCATAGATTCGGGGGCGAAAAATCGATCTAGCTAGGTTTCATTTTTAGAAAATGTCCTTTTATCCCTGTTTTCAGGGAATGAAAAATATAATTTGAATATGACGGTAAATTTCGCCGCAAGAGAAAATGTCATAATAGCTCGGTCGGTAATCGGGCGGCCCCAAAACAGACGGCCGTGGTTCGCGTCACGATCATTTATTTTTTACTTTTTTTTCGATTCCAGATTGCTTTCTTTATTTTTATTTTTTTGTCGATTTGTTATTTTGTTATTTTTTTCCCCTTTTTTTTAAAGTTCTTTCTTTTGTGAAAAACATCAGTTCATATTTTCTTATTATTACGTCGGTAAGATCGAAAAACATTATGCATATTTCATTACTCAGTAATTTGTATCTAAATGTAATTTCCAAAATACACGATTTACCAAAAAAAAAACACACCGAGCAAAGCTCGGTTCTCCGGGTACTGTTAAATTAAGAACCTAACATTAAGAAACATTAAATTAATATTATTTGGTAATTGAATTTTTGAAAAACATAATTATGTGAACTCCGCCAATCCGCTTGGTGGACTATGCGCTAATACTCTTTGTACAGAGGCCTTTACCCAGCAGTGGGATATGTATAGGCCGTTACTTTACTTTGTATGAGCTATTGGACGAGTAAAACTAAAGAACCCATATCATCATCATTTCAGCCTGTTTGAGTCCACTGCTGAACATAGGCCTCCCCCATAGACTGCCACGAAGAACGATCCTGAGCCACCTGCATCCATCGACTTCCCGCACATTTGCACAGGTCGTCACTCCATCTAGTGGGGGGTCGTCCTACACTGCGATGGCCAGTACGAGGCTGCCACTCGAGAACCTTTCATAATAAGAAGCCATATACATAATTCATTTAAAATTTTAGTAATTACCGATAAACTCACAATACAGGATAAATTAATCCTAAGTCCTACGGTAATACAAAATAGAATAGCGGTTGTAATTCATAAGAAAACTGATTCAAATAAATAATAACACCACAAACAAACAATAATTAAACTTTTAATAGGAAATAAAAATATACATGCGTATCAAATAATCGTACATGGTAAATGTAAAGTTCATAGAACTTATGAATCTTTTATCTTAATGATAAGGTATAAAAGTTACGAAAGATAATAATAATAATCTAGATGAGCGACATTATAATAACTTTAAAAGATCCTTAGCCGCCATAATAATAAGAGTTATTCTTCGGCTCGCAACGTGGCTTGGGTAAGACTTCAAGAACTTTGTGAGATGCTTTTGGACTTCTTCAACAATCGTAGGTAAATGGCTGCGAGTTACGGGGTCCAGTGTATTCAAATTTATTATGGCTTCTTCCAGATATCTGTAAACAATTATGAATATCATACATAAGAAATAATTAATATAGCTACCAATATCGAAACACGTCGCACGTAACAACGTATACTTTTTCAGGAAATTTAATTATAATCTGTTTGCCAATTCACGTACTCTTCCAGAGAGCTGGTTTTAAACTTTGAATAGTATGGATAATCGAAAAAAATATATACTCCATAATTTATTTTACTTATTTTTCCTGCACCTATTCAGCCTAGGTTAAGGTCGGCACAACATGTGAAATATCTCTGGTTTCACCCTCCTTGGGAATGAACAGCCTTAGCACAATTAATTGCCCCGCTATGGGCATGTAAACCACTAAGCCGAAACCAATAAGATTAGCAACTTCGCAACTGAGGCAAACTAGGACAGTAGTGATGCAGTACATGCCTGCATTTGAGCTGCGTGTCGTGGACCATGTCGGTGGCCAGCTGCTGTATCAGCGAGAGCAGCACGCACTGGCGCAGCTCGCAGCGGCCCGAGAAGAGGCGGGCGGGGTCCGCCGCCCGGCACGCCGCCATCACCAGCGAGAGGTCGGCCGACGACAGCGCCCTCTCGAACGAGCCGTTCACGTTGCCCGCTTTGATTTGCTCCTTGATCTCCGCCGACTTCATCTTGCGCAGTGGGATAATTGGTTTGAGTGGCCAAACAGTGGCGGAAACGTAAAATTGCTACCTTTCAAATATGTGACCTTTTGGAAAATATTGGAAAGAAAGAATTACGCTGGGGTAAAAAATTGCAGTGAATTTTTACGATGCGCGACACCTATAAGCGACACTAACTTCATGGTGTTACCATGGCAACCGATGACAACTTATACTTCCAAGTTTTTAGTAATTTTTCTTTTGTTACGCTAAAGAAGTAAAAGTTCTTACGGGCGTACCATAACACACAAGTTTTTTTTTATAAATTGACCATCCTGGAAGCAATAATAGGCTTTTCTGGCACGAAGTGGGAGGGATAGAGTTTTTGTGACACGAAGTCCACTTTGTGACACGAAGTCTATATCCAGTGCAAACAGGACCGATTAGCAATTCACGCTGGAATATGATGCGGGGTTCGTAAGAAAAGGGGCGTCCCTTCGTGAGGCGGGGTTGTTTATGTTATCGGATGTTATTAAAAAACGTTGTAAGCGGATGTTAGAAAATAAAAATAACACATAAAATATGTGTTATTTTATGTGTTATTTTTATTTTCTAACATCCACAAACTAACATTCTATTTCTATTTCTAACATCAACAAAATAAAGAGCAAAAAATAACACATATTTTATGTGTTATTTTTATTTTCTATGCCATAGAAAATAAAATAAAGAGCCATAGAAAATAAAAATAACACATATTTTATGTGTTATCTTTATTTTCTATGGCTTTGGCTAATTGTGTGCAGTTCAGAAGCGTATTACAAGTTTTTGGACCATTGTAATTTCGAACACGAGTGTACAGCAATAACACAATCAATCAATGATATTATATATAAATACGAATGACACTAGCATCGAAACTGAGGGACTCGAATTACGCCAATTGGCGTTAATTAGACTGCTATCTCTTTCCGTATCATACGTTCTACGTCATCTGTCACATTCACTTATACATGTATGTCGTATAATGTAAAGCGGAACAATTTTTAAACTTCGCGCAGTATGGACTTGCGTCATCTTTAATAAGCCATCATTGCAATCAATTATGAAAGCTTCAAACATTTCGCGGACGAATGAATTACTACGGCGTCCAGTGCGAATTTTGGACGTGGGTGAAAACAATTGACTTCTACTGACCAACTGTTCCAGAATAGATCGCTCTGGATCGGCGGGCTGCGGTGGACTCACGGCTGCTTGATTCGGGGATGCTGGATTAGGAGGTACATCTTCGACGACGCGATTGTCGCGCGTAAATACCACATTGAACAGATTTTCCCGCCATTCTTTCAACTCCTTTTGTAGAACTCTAAAAACGTTACAACATAATAAAACGACCGTTTCGTTTCAAGGAGTATTCAGATAGACTGTGATGGACACAATGCAAACGTAGAGCGTAAATGCAACCGGTTAGGCTAGCTTAGTATTGATAAAATAAATCAGTGGCGTAGTTCGATAAAAAGCGCCATTTCAGAATCATAATTTGGACAGACGTCGAAAATGTGACTATGCCGGCGAATGAGAAGTTCTCCTATAAATAAATTATTGAACATTCTTATTGAAAATTTTACTTATTTTCTTCGTTTATTTCATTTCAATCTCATATACTCGTTTTTATTTACTGATTTTGGTGTAATACAAAATTAGCAGATTAATTTGTTTTTTTTTAATGTGACAAGGCGGCGAACGTGCTGGCGGTTCACCTAATGTTAAGTGATAACCGCCGCCAATAGACATCTGCGCCAACCGTAAGGTTGCTGATGCGTTGCCACCTTTAAAGGAAGTGGGCCCCGGCTACCTCACTCGAAGACCCCAGACGAAATGCTGAAGTATAAACTTCCACTTCACGCCGGTCTCCTGTGTGGTCGTGGTACTTACCTTGGCGGAGCTGCCTATTCGTGCAACAACGAAGATTGCTGCGTGGCCCTACCACAGTTAAAATATTATGTATAAAAGATGAGGAATTTAACATACTCTTGTAAACTATTTTGTAGATTCTTTAGTAAGTTTTTGTTGCGGACCGCCTCCTCGAGCAGAGCCTGGTGTCTTTCAAGAGCCTTGTGCAGTGTCTTCGCAGTGTTCTCGACGGACTTGGAAAATATCGCCGAACTCTCTTCCACTGAAGGCGTATTTTCAATTAGAACTTAACTTTAAAACCGAGATGTCTCCACCTCTTTTAAAGAAACGTGAACGTGAATGAAATCTGTTATTTACGACGGGAAATAATGAGCTAAATTATATTTTGAAGCTTGATATTACAATGATGGAGTGGAAAATATTTTTCCAACATGATTTGACGGTCGTTTCGTGGTCGACGCGTCCAATATATGTACCGAATGGATTTTCACATTGCTTTTATAGCATTTTTTATGTTTCCCGCGCAAGTATTAAAAATAATGCAAGTTTTTACTACATTGGTGACGATTATGATAAATTTTGGAAATAGATATTTATACAAACGAGAAAAGTCAAATATGCATTGCAATTCCACACCCGTAATTGACGTTAATTCGCAGTAAAAATTTATAAACGAAATAGATCATTATTTTATGTGTATTCGGTACAGTTCCGTCACACTTCAGGTTTTTTTTTAAGTGAAAATTGCAAACGAGCTTGCAGTTCAGATGATGTTAAGTGATAACCGCCGCTCATTAACATTTGAAACCCCCGTAGGGCTGTAGATGCGTCGCCACCTCTTAATCAAGTGGGCCAGGGCTACCTCACTTATCAGACGAAACATGCGTAATGCCTAGGGTATAACTTTACTTAAATCTAGAGAAGTATTTTCCTTGACACAAAAAAGGCTCATTTCTCACAGTCTTTGAAGGAGTCTTCCAGGACTTTAGTCACGTGCTTGAGCAGGCGGCGGTGCGAGCGCTCCAAAATCGGCAGATAGGAAGCGGAGAAGTCCTGGCAGAAGCTACTGCGTATGACCTCCTTCACGCAAACCTCCGTCGTCGATATCACGTGGGCTTTCAATTCCTGCACCAATATGGCAAAACAGCTAAGGTGAATGATGACATCAAATCGAAATCCGATAAATAAGTGAAAACTATAATCGGCAGGCACGTATTAATTGCGTGTGCTCAAAATAATGATTAACCGTTATGAATAGATATTAATGATTAAAATTCATAAAACAATTATTTTTCTATTAATATAAGATTTATCATTGTTAGTATTCTTTTTATTCTTTTATTCATTCTTTAGGACGACTATAAAATCCCCTTAGGTTAGCTTGGAAATTCCAAACTTTGTGTTAGAGTTTTCCGATTTATATAATGTCGATTATTTGAAAAAGTTTATTATTAGTCAATTACTCAATGAACTTAATAGATAATTTTTTATTATATAATTGAACCGACGATTTCTAGTACGCATTTTATACTACAAAGCGACACACCATACCGCCTCGTTATTAGAATAAAAAATTAATAGACCTTGTAATGTGTTTAGTCGTACGGTAGATATTTGATTAATTTTACTCACATCGCTTTGGAGGAAATTGGTGAGGGCATCCTTGATTTCCCGCTCGAGACACTGCGCGTTTTTGTACTCGATCGCTTCCAGTAAAGTCTTTGTATTGTCATTTTCTTTGTTATTGGCCTTACCGGTCACAACGTCGTCACGCGTTGACAGACTGGGGTCATTAACCCTATACAACATACTTGACATAAGACATTATAAAATTAAATTAATTAGTAAAACATGTAGAAAAAGTACGAAAAGATTGTCGCCGCTGTGGGAATCGAAATTCTACATGTTTTAATGTTCAATCTTAAGTGCAGAGATTAGCACTATAAAAAACTTTAAAATTTATAAAAAGCAATGGCGACATCTCTCGTTCGAATTATCGTTGTAAAACGATATTCGAAATTGTTTGTATGCTGGAAAGGATATAACAATAGATGCGCCAAGCATTGCTTCAAATGCTAAATAACAATGTAGAATGAAGGCGTTAAGATTTTCGTCACTGTGGCTATTAGCCGTTTAGCTCAGTGGCTAGAGCGTCAGGCCGCGAATGCCGAATACGCGGGTTCGATTCCCACAGCGGCGACAATCTTTTCGTACTTTTTCTACATGTTTTAATGTTCAATCTTAAGTGCAGAGATTAGCACTATAAAAAACTTTAAAATTTAAATTAATTAGTTTTGTTATATTATAGACGATCAGCTGGAACACTAGTTAACAAAAAAATTTTAAAAATCACAGTTTGTTAAAGTGATGCAAGACTGTGGGAGGGTCCCGCAGGTCCGTCTGGACAAGTAACGTTACCTCACAGAATACCGACGTGAACTGGAAGCGTTATACTTCTGCGTTTCGTCTGGTGAGTGAGGCAACAGGAGTCCACTTTATTAAAAAGTGGCAACAACCTTGCAACTCTACGGGCGTTGCAAATGTCAGCGAGCGTATCAGTAAATGCCAGCTTACTTGCCATCTTAATTAAAAAAGGAGCAAGTTAATTTGCTATATTCCGCAATATACAGCGTGTCGGCACCATCGCGACATTAAATGAACACACATATAGGGGATAACATTTTAAAGTTGTATTAAACATTTAAATTCTTTAAACATCAATATTTACAGAGTTATTAAATTTTTAAAAACAAAGAAAAAGGTCACAAAGCATATGAATGGGTTGAATGAATTTAAAAGAGACAAAACATACTGTTAGAAGGAGAGGCTTGTAATGCGACGCTATGGCGCGAGTTGTATAGGATGTTACAAATTTTGTTTCTTTTTTACTTAATTACTTTGTTTGAAAAATATTTTTTTTTAATTATGGATTTTGTTTAACGTTAACATTTTTTTATGATTATTGGCAAGTAGCGTTATACGTGTGTTCATTTATTGTCGCGATGGTAACGACACGCTATATTTAGCTAACACTTACTGAAAATATTTGGCACGCTCTGCAGCCAAAGCATAGGCTTAATCAAGAATCAAATGATAGGTACTAAAGTCGTTAGACTGATCTTAGTAGGAGCAATGACAAATATTTAAAATATATAACTCGTCAGACAACAGCGGATTTTTGGGGTTACGAAGCATTATACAGATATTGTTAAAGGTAAAAAATTACTGTGACAAAACAACATCCTAAATGTTCCATTGCCAAAGGCCTCCTCTGCACAGAAGGCATTAGGGCATGTTCCACCACGCGACCCCAATGCGTATTGGCAGACTTCACATATCTTCGAAATTTTTTTTAATTATTATTTCTAAAGTATGCAGGTTCCCTCGCGTTGTTTTCCGTCACCGTTGAGCACATGATGTGTCATCACTTAGAATATTATTTATGGATGCACATGGCAAAGTGTCGTTCTAAGTTCTTGGTCCAACAATGTACGACTTCTGGGTAATGATGACGATGATGAAGAACAAATCATAAAAATATTTTTTTACTAAAGCGAGGCTTTTAACAATTTCTATAGTTTTATGGTCTCACGTAAGCTCAGCAACTGGACTTTTCTCCGCCACAGATTTGTTTCCGAAGACAGCAGCAGCGGCAGAACTGAGCACAGATTTCTTTAGATCTCTCTTTATTTCTACCAAAAACTTCTGCTGCTCCTGTAGTAAATCTGTGAACATCAATTTACCACCATTTGAACACTCAACTGAAACTTTATTGAGTACTCGTTTAGAAGAAACTAAACGATAAACTTCGAAACGATATTTTGAAAATTTATTGCGCTCTAATAATAATATAATTAAATCTTTGTTATTTCTCACAATATATTTACAGAAAAATCGCAGAAGTACCAAATACGATGGTGGCACATTACATACATTTCATGTCTCTCCGTTTTTAAGTCTGGTTCTATCCTTGCTTGATAGGATAAAACCAGACTAATAAATTTTTTGCAATAAAGAGCAATATTGCTTATTTATAAAAATAATTGGTTCTGATGACCATTCACCCTTCGATTTTATTGTAATAAAAATTATTTTATTAGCCGTCTAGACTACGATCAACAATGGATTCAAACTTAGTTATAATATAATAATGTTTATTTGTTACGAAAAATACCAAAACATGTAATAGTTTGAAACCCTGCAGTTGGTGTTATATAAGAAACTTGTAACAGACTGCGGTCTTCCCTTCGTGGTCCGCATTGATTGCTATTTTTCTAAGTACACCTAATGATAGTTTTTATTATACTATATCGGTAAAGTCACAAAGGTTATCCTGTTACGCTAACATCGGTGCTTTTACACCTCTGACGTGTTGTTCATGTCTGACGTGTAACTTACCACTCAGCCTTTCGATTTTCCTCTCCAAAACAGTCACACACCCCACGTTCAGCGAATCACTGTTGTTAGTGAGTACTTCGTCGTAAATGATTTGCTCGCGCGCCTCCATCGAAGCGTCTGACCCTGCCACGCTGTCTTTAATCCGGGTGAGGCGTTGTTGAAACACTTTAAGCCCGTTGCTAACATTGTCCAGTATCTCCAACGAGCTCAGGGACTTTGACCGTTGCAAATTATTCTTCAGTTCCAATTTCAAATCATCCATCGTGCTGCGCGAGCGACGAGTGCGATACATCTGTGATAGTTGCCTTTTTCCTACCCTCGTTTATTTTTTTTATGTGCTAAAGATTCTAATCGTTAAGTATGGGTGTGATAATAATTACTGGTGATTACGTTTTTATGTTTTTTTAGGAAACTTATTTCATTATTTCAATGTGTTAGTATTTATAAAAAGCGTTATCGTTTCTTCCTGTAATCTTTTTAAACAAAAGTTTTAAATAATTTATTATATGGAATGTATGTTTTGGACTCTTTAGCTGTAATAACAATCATAATTTTACGGTGGTAGGGCCACGCAGCAGCATGTTGCACGTATGGGCAGGTCCGTCCGGGTAAGTACCACGACCTCACAGAAGACCGGCGTCAAGTGGAAGTATAATACTTTCTCGTTTCGTCTGGTGAGTGGGGTAGCCGGAGCCCAATTTTCAAAAGGTTGTCAACGCAGCTGCAACCCTCGGGTGTAGCAGATGTTCATGGGTGGCGATATTCACTTAAAAACAGGTGAACCGCCTGCTCGCTTAGCAAATAATGCGTTTTTTTAACAAGCGCTGAAAAATGTGATCGAAAAAGAAATGACTGACACAATTTCACATACTAATGCATTCATACACATCCCTGGTACCTTTATTTTGTGGAATTGTTTACAAAGATTCAACATCATCATCATGCTCCTGCCATTCCATGCTCATCCCACTTGGGTGCTATCGGCACATGTGAAGGCTACTTTTTTTATCGACCGCCCTGCCTGCCTGACGTCAACGCTCCTTGAGAAACAAACAACGAGATCCGGAACAATTATCTGTGGGTCACACAAATAGTAATCTCATGTGGGAATCGAATCCACGAACCCCGTCGCCGAAGCTCGATGGGCTTCCTTTAAAATGATTATATGTGTATTTTTTTATATATTCTGATGGAAAACGAGCTGGTAATTCACATATACATATAACTGCCGCCCTTTGCAACACCCTACTAGAGTTGCAGGTGCGTTGCCACCATTTAAAAATTAGTATATTTAGATATACTTACTAGCTGATCCGAAAAATGTTTGCTATAATATTTTCTAAAAAAAAATTATAAACCTATTCCCATACCTACTGAATATACATATAAAATTTCATCAAAATCGGTTTCGGTGGAGTATAAACTTTGTGTTTAACTGTGACACAAGAATTTTATTTATTATATAATGCCCAGAAATTGACTTTATTCGTACATTTTTTTAAAGTTTTTTATAGTGCTTTTTTTTTTTATTCGTACAGACAATCAAATCAACCTAAGGGCCGTGATAGATAAATTTTATTTCATAAGCAGTCCTGATCTTAGACATTTTAGATCTGTCTAGTCTCAGTTATTAGCCAGTATATTATACTAAGTATCTTTTGTCTTTGTAAATTTCCTTAGGGATAATTAGGTTTAATAAAAAAATTTATTAGGGTTTCCCTTCTTGTGAATTCTTAACGGGAATAATCAATCAATCAATAAATAACGGCGAAAATAAGATGACTTTTTTAAAACTAGAACTCCGTACAAAATCATTAAATGAAACTAATGTGTTCATATTTTGAAATGCAAGGCTGTTGGTGCCACCTGGATGCACTGAAGGTCTTGCAAATCGCGATCCTTTGCGACCGATCCTTTCCGATTCAATTGCGACCATCACAGGATACTCTAACAAATAATGGCCGATGGAGACGGTGGTTTATAAAACTGTACTTGACCATTTTACTATTACATTTTTCTATTTCCTTCTATATTACATAAGAACCGATAAACAAAAGGAAATGTTTTTATTAATGCAGATAATTATGTTACCTTATAAATGTACATATTGACTAAAATAGTAGGTCTGGTCAAGTATAGGAAACGCTCCACTCTCAATAGTAGACCATTTTATGGCGCTCAGAATTTGTAAAGAATTCGTTAGTCTTGCTGACGTTTTGCGCGACCACCCTTTATGTCTTTTTATAAATATATTTATTTTTACTTACCTAATTATTATGCCACCTTTCATTGTAAAATTAATATAATCACAATCATCCGTGTGGGGAAATGAAATAAAATAAAACAGAACTCAATATACACACATTTATGACAGATATGCCATTCTAAACAGTAACATTTTCGACATGAAACAACGTTGTAACCTCTTACGCTATACAACTATGTATATACTTATAATAACATGCGAATTGCAATGAATGTGAACAATCAGACGCTTCGAAGCAAAGTCGATTAAACGATTATATTAATTTACCGACTGTTTAATTAAACTAAGGATTTAAATATCATTAGGTACGTTTCTAATCATTATATCTATTTATCGAAATAAACATAGACCAAAATTTCATTTTTTCCTCGCCAATAATATTTCGCTAATAATATTTTAATCGATAGATAAGGCTAATGATAGCAATAGTATTTAGTATCAACTCACAGCCGGAAGATATTGAATTGGTCGAGTTGTAAAATTCGCACGATCTTCGTAAGAAATTTTGATAAAATATTGCCATAGACACATTCAACCCAATAACTATGGTGCGCGAATTTACGCAAACCGGATGAAACTATTTCACAAGATGGAAAGTCGTTCTGTGTCTGTAGATGGAATATTTAATATAAAGTAAGACTTGCGAACTGGAGTGGGAAATATAATTATCATCGAATTACCTTCGAAGCGAATCGACTGTTTGAAAATGTCTTCAAAATAATATCTCAGCTAACGTCACCGGGGTATATTTCTATAGGAAAAATATTGGATTGATATACAAGTCAATGTAATGTTACATTGAAAAAAAAATTAAAAACGCTGTAAACATTCATATTTTAACATTGTTTAATCTGATATTTAGTCAAATGCAATATTATACACGAGGGAATTCATGATAATAATATTTTTAATAGTCGTTTATAGTAATTATTTTTATAATTTATTATCTGTGTTATAAGATTATATACGAATTCATAATGTTACATAAAATTAAATATACAACGGTAGTGTTGCCTAATGATATAATTCATTGGACAAAAAATAATTTAACTCTAAAAGTTCACTCAAATTCTTATCATCGCATATTGCCAGTCGATCGAAATTACTAGAATAATGGGCTGGCAATACTGACTCACTACAAAAAAAAAGGCAACAGTAACTTTAAACGGGCATGTGTGAGCAATTATTAAACCTAAAAATAACATTACCTAAGAGACTAGGGTCTTTTATTCACAATAATACTTATACCATCGGCCCCTCTTAATGTGTTATTACAAAAATATCTCGCATTTACCATAACATTGATTAATTCAACTTTTAAATTTCCAAATGACAAATTCAACGTTTAAATCTCCAAGCGGACTTTATTTGTCCAAATAGATAATTACATGAATGAGATTATCGCTTATAATTTATAACAAGCGATATTAAACTTTAAAATTTTATAGTTGACGCTCTCAAAATTTCCGCACCACCATCGGAAGGCTCTAGAAATCGACGCCTTCAATAATCTATCGAAAGCATTGCGTCCGCGAACAGAATACGGTTTGTGTCCTAAAATATTTATTATTTATTTATTTATTTTAGGCACAGCGAGAAGGTACACGTGGTATTGGGAATATCGAGAGGAAAAAGAACGCAAAGTGAGACCCTACATTGCTACAATTTGGAATGCTTTACATTCTAAAAGTAAATCCGTTGATATAAACGCATATTCAGACTAAGCGGAAGGCTTGTCTAAAATTGAATACCTTCAGAATATCTGAGATAATTTTCGGGTATGAATGATGTTTTTATTTTATTATTTTAATGCCATCCCTGTCGTTATTATCATCAATTTAACTTTGAAAATAATCGATGCAAAGTGTTATTATTCACAACAGATTTCCAATATAAAATTATTTTCAAAAATAAAAAAAACAATTTCATCATAATATGTATTGTATAGATTAACAATAAAAAAATTAAATTATATCTTAATATTTTGTCTACGATTTAAAGTTATGTATAATTAAAAGTATAATAAAAAAAAATTATCACATAGTACAAATAAATAGTAAAACTAGCTTAAAGGAAGGCATTGTTACATATGTTTGGGTATTGGACATTTAAATTTGAAATGGAATCTGTTATTAGAGACCTTAGCAAATCATTTCATTATTTAATACCGTAATTCCTCGGTATACGATCTCTGTGAATACTGAATTATTGTTGGACAAATAGGTACTTGTATATAGCAAAGTCTTCATTATAAATTACCTGTTTAAATAATTATTTAAAAAGAAGTCGAAATATTCCAAAAGAAAAGTATCCCGAGGTACCGTTAAATTTACTTCAAAAATGCAATTCTCATTTGAAAGTTTGAATAGCATCTTAAATTCCCTCTAACTTCCGTCAACTTTTCTGATCTGTTCACTTAGATGAACGCAACAATAACAGTAGATGAATTTAAAATAAAATCCCTAATCTTTAATAATCAATAGGGCGAGATCAACACCATAAACAATTGTAAAAAATAGATATGTCTGGAACAACGGCTAAGTGAAAAACACGTTCGCACTATGAGCTACCTAATTATGGTTCAAACGCGCTAATATAGAAGATTTCGGCAAACTGGCGATTTCAGATGTAATCAACTGTGGGTTAAGGTCCAAAATGCGCTGTTAGCCTCAATGTCTGACGACGAACCTTATCTTCGATATCTAATTAATAACATCTAAGATATACGCTCCTATAATTAAATCTATATTTATATTTTATATAATTGCATATAACATATTAAATATACACATTCATAGGAAAAGACAAATAATCAGAATGATTTTCACTATCTAAGGGCGAAATTATTTTAAACTTTAACTTTGAATGTATTAAATAATTAGGTATTACATTTATATAATCGCAACACTTACCTATATGAGTTTATATTTACTTGCATTACTTCGAAACTCACCGACACGGCGTTTCAAAAAGGTAATCAAGAAAATCATTTGTAAAATATCTCTAAATACATAGAGGGATTAAATTTCATAACAAAAGACACTTTTAGAGTTCGGGAATGTTCTTTCACACCGATTGCTTTAGGTAACGTGATGACGTTGTCATAGAACGGTTGCTCGTAGTTGTACTGACTTGGTCAATCTCGACATTCCATAGTTGCCATGTCTTAAAATACTAAAATTATTGTTTCATAAAAAAATGGAGAAAGAAATCCCAAGCATTAGTATTTTAAAAATGCTGTGAAAGAACATTTTATTTAGTAGGTATTATGATTTAGTAGATCGAGAAATACGTGTAGGCCTATAATTGTTTCACAACGTTACGTATGTCATATCGGCCACGTTAGTCTAATATACAATTGACTATTTTCCGACACAGAACTTGCGGCGTAACTATCTAACAATCACCAGGAAACGTTTTGGGCTGTAGAAAGACGGGACACGTCACGTCATCATTACGAGGACGCGAGGGGGACTGGGGAAGCGGGGAGGAAGGGAGGTGGAGTATATATAGGGGGTTACCAGTCGCGGCGCGGTCAGTTGGGCAGAGGCAGCCCCGTGAAGCTCACGGGCTGCTCGTTGGCAACGAGGTTGGCGCGGGGCGCCGTCGTCGGCTGACCGAGCCCCGCCTCCAGCGTCGCCGCCGACGTCCTCATCTCCTCGGCCGACGCTCTGCGCGACGTAAATCCTTCTTAGACGGGGTTCGACAAACGATTCGCGAATGGCTAGAAATTCCAGTGTGCCAAAAAGACAATCTAAAGCCGTTTTCTACACGGCTGAAATGAATTAAAGCGAAATCAAAGCGCTAAGTGATTATTCCGAGGATGCGGTGGAAGTCGGGTTACACAAAATGGTGGTGCCGAATGGAAAAATGCTGTTCGCTTAAGGCTGTTGTAGATATTTTAATGAAAGCACTTCATGGGTTATTACAAAAAATGACCCTAAATAATAGAATAGCTATACCAGTAGCACGATCATATTGACCCAAAATAATTTAACGATTTTAAAATAGGTGTATCGTGTCAAGCTGATTTAAGTGCTATTGATGTAATAATTATTACTACGTAACTCCCGCGTAAAGTTAAGTACGTCGATCTAGGTCATTACCACCATCAATTCTGATCGTTACTAGTGACTAAGTTTGCTTATATCTAACGAATTTGCCAGTTCCTGGAATACGACACTTTTACTCTTATCTCTCAAACTGGCGTGCTCTTCAAGCATTTTGCATGTCATAGCAATAGTTTTTGGACGTAGAGGAGCATACTTAATTACCTATGTTATCTCCAGTCAAACAAAATTCAAAAGTGAGTAGAGTGGTCTGCAGACAATATGGTGTAACAAGCATTTCTATGATCTAAATGCAATCGAGTACGGTTTGTGAACATTTGCAGTGCATTTATGGTTGTGTATTAAAATAATTACTTTAAAAAACTTTTAAGTCAAACGGTTTTATTTTTGTTCATTTTTGTTGTTAATATTGTATTGTCATCTAAATTAAATGTGTGTACCAAATTTCAGATCAATCTGACAACGGCAAGGTGCTTAAATTTCAATTTCTAATTTTGACCCAAATAAATAAACAAACAAATTCCGTACGGGTCGAGCTAAATAAAACCGTTTAAAAATAAACAAGTTATCCACAACTCAGTGCTTCAGTGCTTTTAATGGAATGGATAGGAATGATTGGTGTATGATGTATTCATGTTATGAACGTTAAAACTAAAAAACAAGACACTTTATTATTACTTTTATTTATCTTTTCTAGTCTACTCTCCACTCAGTATAAGCGAGGCTACAATTAAATGAAACTACCCAGCAGTAATTAAAAAATGAAATATGTAAGATTTCTTAGTCGAGCGAAGGCAAAAAACAAACTATTGGGCATAAAAACAAGTTACATAGATTTAAAACGATACTACGCAGCGATGGAACCACTACTTGATCTCTCTCAACCCACATCTAAGGAAAATTTAATTCGGAAAAGGATCAGAGATGAGTGTTGTCTCTTTTTTATCAATGAAAGAAGAGGGGGCCGAAAGTTTGCGTTATAAGCTAAATAAAAAAAAAATTCGTCGCCGGTTGGACGTATGAATGTCTGGAGATCACGGACCGAGGCTCCGACGAGAACGTTATGAGAAACTGAGCATAAATAAGACTGCTTATGTCGTAAGATGAAACCTTGTACAGAAAAGCGCTTGCATTGAGCGATTTAACTAGCTAAAAGTTAGTGAGTGTGGAGGCGGAGGAGTATGTCTGACTGGTCATTGGCGTAGTCTGTGAGGGATATAAAATATGTACTATGTATTACACTTTACGCCGGGGGCGCGGCGTAAATTTATTGTATTCTTTCGCACTTTGAAACTTATTTCGTACACTTTGCACTTTGAGAATCGATAATTTTGTAATGCCAAATATTTAGTTTTTAAAATTTCTTATGATTTACACCATAATAATATATGAGTATTATCTCTTTTTCTGGGTTCTGTAGCACCCGCGTGTAGATCTGTATCGTCCACAGGGGTGTGTTATGGGCCACTTCAGATTGAAATAGACTAATGAAATATAATCGGCTTCTAATTAGGAAACCAAGAGCGATCGACCAAGGTTATCGTCCGCTGGCGTTAAAACGCGAAAAATCAATCTCGGGGAATTCAACTTTAACACTATACAGGTTGATTTTTTTACGAAGTACATACTTTGAAATAATGTTAATTGAGCATTCCATAATTCAAAAAATATATTTATATTTTATTTTGACAAGAAAGAACAAGAAAAATATCAATTCAAACATTGTTTGGTTTATCCCGTTAAGAGTGATTACCCTATTGATAAGCGGTTTAGTAATTATGCGTTCAGCGAAAAGTTTTAGTGCTCGTCAATAGGTTATTGTATTGAGACGGTAACGCAGTAATTTCTTAAGGTGTCCATTATGTTTGAAAAAATTAAAGATAATCATTGAAAAAAAAATGAGGTCACAAGTACGCACCAGATTCAGATTTAAAATCAAATTCTGCAAATGCTCTGTTAATATGTCCGTCGTCTATACAATCATCCTGTATATTACCAATCGAAACTTCGACATGCCTATAGATATGTCTCCCACAGCCCCAATGCGTTACCGGTGAAAATGTGATGCGACAACGGAGTGAGGGGGTCTGTGATGGTGTTGATGGGGGGAGGGGGTACGATTGCACACGAGGCGGCGCGGTGCACTAGCATGCATCACAAGCGGCCGACGGGCGATAGCATCGGGCGTTTGCCTTTAGTTGGGGCGCCAGACGTCCGGGTCCTCCATGAGGGTGACATTGTGGTCCCCGGAGGCCGCCAGCGGAGCGCCGGGCGGCGTGCCGGCGGCCGCCATCGCCGCCATGTCCGACCGCGAGCCCCTGCGCCCCGCCACGCACGCACACGGACACGCGCACGGACGCACACGCACGCAAACACGCAACGCGTTAGCGAACCCACACACCGGTTAGGTACCCGCAGCGAGGCGTTAGTGTTGGTAGCGTAAGGCTTAGTAAACAGCACCGAGTTCTCGCATCGCCGAGTTATAGACGGTTGAAGTTAGTTTGCAAACTACACCGGTTAATTAAACCAATACAATCGTTCTAAATTTTTTAGAGAAATATTTATTTATTTATTTATTTATTTATTTAATACCCGACAATAAAATTGAATGATTGACTGACTGTGTCAATGAATTTATTACATAGAATAATTTTTTCGGCTCTAAATAGTCTGTGTATTGGCAAAAACAAATATGATATTGATTCATTTAACCTTCAAATATTTTGACCGTAACATTAGATATAAATTGAGTTAGTTATTATTGCATAAGGCAATTCAATCTGAAACATCTGACTGCTTCACATGTTCGTTAAACCATTCAAATTATCCATTCCATCACTATTTGCTGCACACATCGTTAGTTTTCGGGGAGAGTTCAAACATTACATGAGATTAATTCCCTCCTGTTGTTTTGTGTTGGGGACTTGCTATAAAATATTGATTGCAATCCCACTAGTTAGTGTTATACTAACTTGTAAGATGTACAAATTACGGCAATATTAAAAACGTCTTAAGGATATTTTAAAAAACCTACAAAATCTTACTGTAGCAAATTTACTTCGATCACCGAGCACTTTTCGTTTCTCTACCATCCCATGCGCATTTTCAAAAGCATCAGTAGACCGTCCAACGTAAAACCCAAGCCCCATAAGGACCACAACCGTTAATATTGACAAGTAAGGACAGACAAGCCCACGCCCATTGAAAAGAACCACCAGGGCAATACTCACTTCCTGCCTAGCGCCATCATGCCGTATATGACGCCGGTGCCGAAGATCATGCCGCTGCCGAACCAAGTGCTGAGGCTGAGGAAGCATAAGAAGAATGGCGGAAGGGCTAACCTGCAACAGAAGTCGGGAGATCTTCAACTGTGAACTATCAACTCGGCAAATATTAAAAATTAAACGGTAAACTTCATTAAAGTCGGACGAGTTCAGTGACATAATCACGCACGGAAGAATTATACAGCGTGTTATACGCGACAATAAATGAACACACATATAAAGGATAAATTTTTAAAATTACATCAAAAATTTACATTCTTTAAACATCAATATTTACAGAGTAATTAAATTTTCCAAAACAAAGAATTTTAGAACATCCTTGCCTATAAAAGCGTAACGTAAAGTTCATTTGTAAAGGTCACAAAGCATATGAATGGGTTAAATGAATTTAAAAGAGACAAAACATACGGTTAGAAGGAGAGGCTTATAATACGACGCTGTGGCGCGAGTTGTATAGGATTACATTTATTGTTTTTACATTTATTTGTTACAAATTTTGCTTCTTTTTTACTTAATTAGTTTGTTTGAAAAATATTTTTTTTTTAATTATGGATTTTGTTTAGCGTTAATATTTTTTTATGATTATTGGCAAGTAGCGTTAGACGTGTGTTCATTTATTGTCGCGATGGTAACGACACGCTGTATATGTAAAGATAATATAGGTTGAGATACAGCCGGACATATTTTACGCACCAGATCAGAGGAAATTTAAAGCGCTTTCGAAAATACCTCATTGAATTATAAATTCGGATGTATTTGATTAGCCGAAAAAAATAATTCTATATTTCTAGTCAGCCGCGTACGGTACGGACACCTTGTTGACAAAATGTTTGCAATGTTAAAAATGTCGATGTCACAAAATGTTGACAAAACAATAACTCGAACATAGAAACAATAATCGTCATCGAACTATTTGAATGGAGTCCAGAGACTTTCTACAGTTGCAGATTATTTACCTTAATATCAGGTCATCGAAAATGACAGCAGTGATTAATAATCTTCCTTTTTTTAAACATTTTAGCACCGACGTGGTCGACTTTCAATAAAACGGGGTGCTCAAACTTATACCGCGCAATCACATATGATCAATATAATGACAATCGGTGATCGATATTACAAGATTTGTATTTACCATCAATCTTTTGATGATGATATCATCTACTTTAAACTTTTTCAACACTGTACGTAGCAATCATATTACACGTTATTCCGTAAAATTATTACACTTCAGAATTTCACTTTAGTTCTTTTTGACAGCGATTAGTTGTAAACTGTACTTGAGAAATGGAAGAATAAAGAAATACTAATAGTATTTTCGTCCGGTGAGTGCGCTAACAACAAATCCAGCGCTCCAAAGCTTGGCAATGTATCTGCAACCCTACATACATGTCCAATAGCGTCTGCAACCCTTTTTCCCCTGGGAAAAATCCTTTATGGAATGTGGCAGGGGTATGTGAGTTCCCAGTTCAAAAACGGGCACCCACTAAAAACCCACGTTGCACCTGTCTCTGTCGCATCGGCCGGGGTCACGGGAACATGAAGACGTAATTAATCTTCCGCGACCCCGGCACGACTATGGCCTTCTTAGGCCTCCCCTTCTCGGATGCTACGTCACCCGGTCCGGTGTTTCGCACTGGGAATCGGTAAGTCCAACGTACGCTGCGGATTGCTAGACAGCTTTATGCGTCGCCGTATTTATCTATACAGGGTGATTTGATAGACGACGGTCATATTAACAGAGCATATGATGGATTTGATTCTAAATCTGAACCTGGTACGTAATTGAGACCTCAATTTTTTTCTAAGATTCTTTTAAATTTTTTCAAACATTATGGACACTTACCGTCTCAATACAATAACCTATTGAAGAGCACTAAAACTTTTCGCTGAACGCATAGTTAATAAACCGCTCTATCAAAAAAAATCGCCCTGTGTAATTAATTGATAAGAGACCACTCACGCAACGTAGAAGATTGCCTTGTTCCAGTACGGCCTCGCCTCCATCCTGTCCGAGAGGATCTGGACGTAGTCTATGAAGAAACAGCAGCACGGCGCCTCGCACACGATCACCATGAAGCCGGCGAGCATCTGCCAGATGCCGGCGACCAGGCAGCCCACGTTGAAGGTCAGCAGCCCGAGGCAGTTGAACAGGCCCAGGATTATGGCGACTGCGAACGAAGCAGCGCGATCGGGGAATTTTTTTTTGTGTGATAGAGTGGCAAACTAGCCGGCGGTTGACCTGATGTTATGTGATACAATCAATCAATAAATCAAATGTCTCTATCCAAATAAACGCTTGCGCGTTCTTAGGAAACGTCAAATTTTACATTAAAAAATCATGCATATAGGTTCGTAAGGTACCACCGGTTCGGAAAGCAGTTTCCGTTGAGAAGAGACCGGCAAGAAACTCAACAGATACTCTTTTTCAAAAATATCAGTTTACAATATAACATACCGGTATAATAGGTTTATTCTACATTACGTGAGTATCGACAGTATTAACTGCACACATTGGCATCGTCGAGATATTCCGCAATGGTGTATAATGCTTTTACCATAAGTTGACTTTTGATTTTACGTTTAAATTGATCACCATGATCATTTTTTATTTATTTGATTACCTCCGCCTATGGACATTTTGCAACACCTGTAGGGTTTCGGATGCGTTGCTCCTTTTAATAAAGTGGGCCCCGGCTACCTCGCTCACTAGACGAAACGCTGAAGTGCAATACTTCTACTTAACTTCTGTGAGTTCGTGGTAATAAATAACCCGGACGGACCATTTGTGCTTTTGCTACCATTTTTTTTATGTTAAAAGTTGCAAAACGAGCAGACGGTTCACCTGATGGTGAGTGAATACCGCCGCCAATGGGCATCTGCTACACCCGAGGGTTACAGATGCGTTTCAACGCATCTTTTGAAAATTGGGCTCCGGCTACCTGACTCACCAAACGAAACGCGAAAGTATTTGTCATACTTTACGCTGGTCTTCTGTGAGGTCGTGGTACTTACCCGGACGGGCCTGCCCATTCGTGCAACAGCCGAGGCTGCTGCGTGGCCCTACCACCATATTCTAGTTTTCGTTACTTTAGATAGTGCGATGGCTTAGGAATCTTGTGGGTCGTTGGCAAATTTGTTCTAGGTTATTAAGTATTCAGTAGGCGAGCTGGCAACATTATAATGAATGCCAGCGTTATTGAGGCTTAATAAGTGAGGTTAAAAATTTAATGTGCAAAGAAAAAAAAATACTTTAGCAGTATGCATAGATTACCTTCGATAGCTATTTAACGAATATAAATGTAGCTCTAATTTTGGAATAAATAATTCGTTCACGTTCGTTCATAAAACGTTCTCTAGTCCCATACTAAGCAACGCCTGTATTATATGTACTAGATAACTGATAAATGGGTATCACTTTTAATGGGTAATCGAATCCAAACCCTCTGGCGCAAGAGGCAGGTTTACTACCCACTACGCCAATCGGGTCGTCGAATGATAGGTTTCACTGTTCTGTTTTCAGTCAGTTACATCTAAATATTGTTATAATTATAACGAAATGAAGTAAACAGCGATAATACGAAATGAAAGTTATGAGGTTCGTATCAAGTCAATAACATATTACAAGTTCAAGGCCGCCTTTTGGTCCCATAGCTATAATAATAGTTTTAATATTTTATTTCCAGTTTTAACTTGTGATAAGATTAAATCCTTGGATATTGTAATCGGTTCGACGTGGTTCTTTATTTCTCCACAGTGTTTTTTTTTAATGTTATTAAGCTTGGAATGATTATCGTTTAACTATATTGTAGTCTATTGATATCGGGTAACGTGGTAATGTTTTATTTTGTGTTCATTTGTTTTGTGTAGGTACATAAGCGTTCGCTCTGTTTATGGTTTGAGGCGCGTCGCTCGTTCGAATCAGAGCCGAGCAGAAGTGAAAGTGGATGCATTCTTCGATGTAATTACAACTTTAACGTGTAATAAATGTAACGCTACACGAAAAGTCTTACGAGATTTCGTTGTCGTGACTGGTGTGTTGAATATACTACGTTGGCTAGTATCTCTAGTCGCTTAAGGCCCATTTACACGATGCCATTTTCTTGTACATACAAGAGCAATAATTGAATGCAATAAATTGCGCGCAATAATTGACCATCAAGAATTGTAAGCAACAGTTTACACGCAGATATAGTAAAAAAAAATTGAATGCGATTATTGTATGCAAGTCTTGACAAGAAATAATTGCAAATGTCTTTTGTTTACACCAATGCAATTATGTTTAGGCGATTATTGCTTTCAAGTTTTGACTTGTCTAAACACATGCTTGTATGTGCGTGTACAATTTATTGGCCTGTTGCTTCAAGTATTGCACGTATTTGCGTTGACAAATATTTCATTCAAGTGTTGAGCGTTTTGAAAAGGGTTGTTTATTTAAAAAAAATGGGTCAATAATAAGTGTTCAAGTTAGATTATGCTGATTTAATATATTTCTATTGAGATTTATTTATTATTATCCATATATTATTATTTATTTTTTTGTCCAACTTTTTTTACGACATTTTCTCAATATTTCTATCCTCAAAAGAACAGCAACGATTAAATACCCTCACTCATCGCACTCATGTTTGCAAATGAAGAGAGAAAATTGAATGCAAGAATTGCTTAAGAAACTATTGTATGTGCTGTTTACACCAAGGAAAGTTTTGAAACAAAACTTGAAGCAAGTCTTGTTCAACAGGCAAGAATGTTATGTGCTGTTTAGACCATGCAACTCATTTATTGCTTCAATTTAATTGTATACAACAGGCAAGAAACTTGCACCGTGTAAATGGGCCTTTAGTATCGCTTACGCTCGCTTAGACATTGTCTTAAGAGTTTGAATCTGAAAACGTTGACCGGTATATTTGTGTTGTAGTTTATGCTGTGCGCTTTCCTTACAATAACGATAAATATATATAGATAAAAATTTGTATAGGTTGTGACCATATAGTTATAACATTATGAAGTAAATTTTAAAGCAATCAATGTAAAAAGCCATTGTTATACATATATTTTAAGTTTAGAGTATCAAGGATTTTCAAGACGTATCAACTACAGGTTTCATTCCGATTTCAATGTAACTTGTTAAAAATAATACCATAGCATTGTTATCACGTGTATGAGATAGGGACTAATGTAAAATGTAAATCTTTGTTAAAGCCGACGTGACACCGAAATCATTTCAACACCTGAATAAAATGTGATAAACATTGAAAATCTTAATTAAAAATAGTATCTTCAAGCTGTACTCGCGATTGGAGTTTTGTTTCAAGCACGTTTGTTATAAAAATACCCACCGATTCTTCTCTTTCTGATTGACATTGTTTGCTCTTCATATTATAATACTTCATCCATTCATCCGCTCACAGAAATTAGTAAGCTAAGGTACTTTGACGATAGCCATGACAACTGCTGTCTGGCATTAATAAAGAACATTTACGTATCCGGCAGGTTTATAAGTAATACCGTCTGTCCATAAAATGTCACGGCGTTTTATTGGAGCCTTCCCGAGTCTTGTTAAACACCCACGACGCTACAGCGACTTCGTGCAACGAACATAATAAGAGGATTCCTCATCATCTCGACGTACGCAAATCAAAAGGGGCTTAGTAAAACAATCACCATGCGTTCGAGTGACATTGAATTGGTTTTATATTGGATTAAGTAACATATTTTTTTTACTAGCGAAAAACAAAACCGACGTCAAATATTCCCTAAGTATCTCCGGGACTCAAGATCCAATACCAATGAAATTAATATGGGACCACATGGGAAGCACCAGCTTTCAAATAAGAGAAGAATCATCAAAATTGGTTCACTCTGTATAAAGTTCTGAGATAACAAACACCCCAGTAACATACAGTCCTTTTGTACACAAGGTACACCCGCGTTCCAGGGCGGTTCTCACCGCCCCCAGCCACCGATTAGCTAAAAACACAGTCGACGGCCATCGGGGTCCCGGTCCGCACCGCTACTTCGATGGCCCTTAGATGACATGCCGTAGTTAAACGCACGCATGAGCACATGCGCGGCCCTACCCACAGCGGAGGGCCCAAACTCGTGGGTTCTGGCTAGATGAAGCTTTAATAGTGTCTGGACTGAAAGCACAAACATCAGTTAATACAAGATACAAGAAGTCCTTTTGAAATCAGTTAAAAAACGAACTTCGGCACATGACCACTACATCCGTCTACAAAAAGATTCAAATGCATATTCATTGTTAACCGTCACCCAAAATATTCAATTAATATTATATTTTTTAAATTAGATGTTTCCAAACGAGCAGACGGGTCACCTGATGTTAAGTGAATACCGCCGCCCATGGACATCTGCTACACCCGAGGGATAATGATGCGTTGACAAGATTGCGTTAGATTCACAATTCGGTCCACTACATTTTTTTTTCTAAGTTGTCGAATTTAAGTCAAGTTTAATATATAAAAAAAGCTAGTTAAAAGCTAGTAATTTTTTTAATGTTGTTTAGTCTCATTTCTTTGTAAGGTAACCATAATCGATATTACTCTCATTGACGAACACTTTATTTTTTATTTTCAATTCCCAATACTAAAATGCACAAACTCAGCATACACAACATGCACCAAGGTTCTATGTTACGATGGTAGTCTTTCGAGCAATTACTGTCGAGGCGACCTATTCATGTCACAGAAACAACACAGTTTTTTTAGTTAGCTGGTAGATCTTGTCTACAATCTAGTTCTACTATAGACATAAAGCAAGAACGTTATAATTATTCGCCGCTAAAAACTTAAAGACTCAAATATGGAGTAACTCTTGAAGGTATCCCATCAGCTCGTAGGCTGCGGATCCTCCACTTCGCTCCTATTGTAATTTGCAGATCTTGCAATAGCGCCCGCTCTCAACTCTTAGCTGCAATACCGTGCTCTATCATGCACTGCTAAATTCATATGCATTATTTGCCATAATTCTATAGACGTTATACGTCCATCAAACTGATAAAAACGCTAAAAAAGGAATCTTGTCGCATTTAGAGCATATATGTGCGTATAAGATTCCGTAAGAAACAATGATGTTAAATAAAATCATTGTAATAATAATGTATATATTATCATTGGTAAGAAATATTTAAACTTGTTCTACTTTTATTATACAAAATAAAGTATAGATCTGTAATATTTTTATTTTGTTTTTATTTGATATATCTATTATTCTGTATTTTATAAATGATAGATATAAATATGTAACATTAATTATAAGTATTAGGTAACAAAATAAAATCAATTCAAAATCAAATACGCATTAGGACTCCTATATAAAGAAAAAGTAAACATTATAAATACTTTTACGCTAAAGGTGTAATGGGCAGGTTGTTTTAAATCTTTAAAACTCTTTTACAAATAATAAAAACGTGTAATCAATAAACTAAACGGGCGGACGGAACTAATTGAAAGAGTAAAAATATTTCTGTAGTTAGCCAGTTCGGATGGCGGGAAAATCCTATATACAAGTAATTTGAACTTGAACAGTATGCAGTAAAGAAGATGAAGAATATGAGTATTCCTGCGAAGGCGAATCGGGAGCCACTTGAGCTTATGGCGGAATTCGAATATGTGGTCATACTTTCGCAACCGAAATATAAACCTTATGCAGTAATTTTTATATAATCGCCTATAATACGTTTTCCTGTGTGCCATTTGGCCCAGATAGGAAAGCGTGTAACCCGGGCCGTGTTTGTACTTTACGTAATCCTAAAACTCACGCTCCTAGTATTTTCTCGAGTTACGTCGCAAGGAAAACGAACTTATGAATTAAAATCGCCGTGTGTTGGAAAAGCATACTATATACTAAAAAACTATATGTCACTCTTTATAGTCATCGCGCTTGACTGACGTAGCCAAACAGAATAATTTCGTAAATTGTGCACACAAAATTGGCCGCAACAAGCGCTTATCTAACCACTTAAACAAATGTGGAATGGTGTCTATTGTTTAATTAGAGAGCATTTTTAATGGAAAACGTGTTTTTAAATATGCCGTGTCGTGTTAAAGGAAGGTATTAGGAGGGCCAGCTGTAAGTCCTTTCCCCTGATTTACTTGAAAAGAAGAAAAATACGTCTATCATAATATACACTCATCGTCCAAAACAACTTAACTTTAAAACAACTTAACTTAACTGGTATAAAAGTCTTCTTTTTATGTAAAAATTTGTCAAGCGAATAATCGTTTCACCTGATGTTAAATGAACACTTTAACCATGAACCACACCAGACAGGTTGCAAATGCTATAAAAAAAATGGGCAACACCTTAAATTTAATCACTATCGTCTACCCTTATGATGCATTCAAAATGATAACTTATCCCAATTTTCAAATTATCAAACTGACCAACCACCTTGCAGTTAAAATTTCGAAAAACTTAAGTTGTGTTACATAGCCAGGAAATTCTGTGAACTACATGTGAAACATTCTATAACTTAACTCTTACTACTCTATAAACAAGTTCAACAGTATATTAATTAGTACATGAAATAAACAATTATTTTAACAAATATTCATGTAGTGAACATATACAATATTAAGTAAAACAATTGTGAGATTATAGTCAATGAGTGCAACAACATATGCAATGGCCGAGAGAACTAAAAATAATCTTTCTCCCACACACTAAACCTGTCTACTCCACATTGTAAGAAGATACTGTGTCATTGTCAAAAATCACTGCTTGATTCTTAATACTTAAATATGATGGAGAATAATTTTTAAGAATTATTACTAGTGATATTGGGCAATGTTAATGTTTTTATGGAGGAGTATTAAAGAAAGCAAAAATAATATAATTTTTGTTACTAGTACATTCATACTGTCAATGAAAAACATAAATATAATATTTAGTTGTCAAACAGCCGGACAGACGATTTTAAAACCAAAGAATTTTTAAATGTTTGGTTGACTGACGGTGTCTGAGAGAAAGATAATAATTGATTAAATTGAATGCATTACAGTCAAATTTTGACCAACAGGTCAACTATTACTCTCTAAATATTTCAGGCCATATCTTTCCACTATGTTCTAGTCCTAAACTATACAAAGCCTAGGTAGTTTTAGGTAATAGGATAGTGAGAGACATACTTTGATATGCGTTTGTTTTGTTAATACATACATAGTATGTATCTACCAAGGCGCTATAACACTATGTTAATACTAGATTAATGGGATCTAACCCACACCCTCTAGTGCAATAGAGGTTTACCACCACTATACCAATTGATGAGTGAACATGAGATTCCACTTCTCAGAATACTTTGTTAAAAGATGCGCACCTAGTAAATTTTCAGACACATTCACAATAATAGTAAAAGTTAATACATGGTGCATTGCAAACAGAATGAAAGCTTATGAAAAATCATAGCACAATTTGATAAGAATAATTGACTCAGTAATTAGTTACTGAGTAATAAGGCATAGTATGACCAAATATAATAATTATTGAATAATTAACTTTTATTACAAAATATAATGGTGATAAAAAGCTATGCAAGATGTCAATATACCCTTTTATGTACCATTCTCACAGGAATTAGGACAAAGTAAGTCCTTGGTGAGTTGTATCTATTGTGTTAAAAGAAAATATATGGGTACAATTTACTGAAGAAGAAGAACATTATCAATTACTAGTTGTCAATATTAATTTATTAGTTATTATTAATTTATTCTTGAAAAAACCCTAGTTGTAGTAGTTGTCATTGCACACATATAAGGATTAATTATTTTAATTAATAAGAAAATTCAAATATAAAACCTTAAAAACATATTGACTTGAATTAAATCATAGCTAAGCAAAGCAATTCAAATCAAATCAAATTAACATAACTAGTCACAAATATACCCTCAGACAAGTTTGGTCTCCATACACATATTGACTTAATATGTTACATTTAAGATACATAAAGAAAATCCATTAGTAAATTCGATCACAAATTTCGATCCCAAAATTTAAATTATGAAGTATAATAGCACTATAAATATATATATATACATATATATCTTATCTTTTCTTTTTGCTTTAAATTTATAGTCAACATAGGTAACAAAATTTTTATCAATGAAGCAACAAAGACAATGAATTCAAATCTAATGAGATAGCTTTTTAAGATTTTATGCAAAGGCCTTATATTCAAATATTATTAAAATTTTCGTGTCGATATTAATGTTTGAATACCACCCACATTGATAAGATAAAAGAAATTTACAGAATAATATTCTCCTTTGTATAATTTTAATCAATTTCTCATGGAGAATACATTTCAATTCACTGTAATGGCTAAGAGATAATAAAATAGTAATACATACTGAAACTGCCAACTGTGCCCAGGCCTCGTCCAGCGTAACGCATCCACCAAGGAACATCATCTTTTTGGGCATTTTCGCCGCCCGGCCGCGACATAAGCATAGTAATCTTGTCCGTGAGCGACTATAAATTTAAGCCACATTATTTTGATTATGCATTAAAACAAATAATGAAAAATAAAATTAACGCATTATATTCTTACCATTTTCGAAAAAATCAATTCACTGCTTTGCTCTGTCAGCTGTCAGACAATCAGACAAGACAAGAAATACGAGATTAGTTCACAGATCATTTCTATCTATCGCAAGTTGTTATTATTGCAGAATAAAATTATATTTAATCGATCATTATCAATCACTTTATGATGATATTAAATTATAGTTATAACATTGAATTGAATATGATTCGTAGAAATCATTAGAAAGAGTAAAAATGCATAATACGTTCAGATTCCGCTATGTTATAATAACATGGAAAAGTATATGATATTTTTTAATATAGTCTGGCAAAATAATAGAAATGTATTTAAAAAATTAATGTTTTCTGAGTGTTTATTCCTGATTTTTTATAATTTATACTTTTAATAATTTTACGTTAACATAACGCTTTCGCCAAATGTCGGCGGTCGGCTCGGCTTCAAGTTTCAGAGTTCAGATTTCAGTCATTTTGCGTTTATAATTTTTCTTATATTTTTGCAAAAATTGTCCTATAATAAAGTTAATTGTGAATTTTGTAATACATGTGCTAAGTGTAAGATTGTGTAAACATGCAACCGACAACAATGCAGACAGGCGCACACTTATTAAAGGGATGAAGGGAGAGGTAAAATAGATACTGTAATCTAATGAGTAATTTTTTTCCATTAACAATGCAATGTTGTATCCACATAGTATTTTCTTGTTCCTTGAGGGAACAACTTTAAAAAGTCAAATCCAGATTAATTCCTCCCTTTCCTTTAAAATTTTTTGTAAGCAGTAGTATAGATAAACTTCAATATCTACCTTTTGTAAGGTAGGTATTGAAGTTTATCTGTACTATACATCTCAAAATCTCCCTGTACAGAATATACAGGGAGATTTTTTGAGAAGTGCCCAAATTTACAAAGGAGGTTCAGACTCGGTAGTATAATCATTTATTGAAATAAAAAACAAAGTTTTTTTTTCCAAAGAAAATGCCATGCTATTCCCTAAAAAACAGAATGTGTTGACAATGCGGTAGTCATTCATAAATATCTAAATTTAACTGTGCTCAAACTTGTGTGCGTGTTAGTTATGAATTATCGCGCGTAAAATAAATGAGTTGCGTATAAATGACGCACTTTTTGAGATAATTTCAAATGAATTTATTTAATTACTTACAAGTGATTTTAAATATTTATCATTTTTTATATAACATTATTTATGTCTAGAATTTAATTAAAAAAAAATGGATACACTTAGAAAAGCCACCCTCTATTTAACTGGTTTAACATTACTTGAAAGTTAATTATTTAAAGCATTTATTAGAATTTAATCATTTCACTTACAACTAAGTAAGTAAAAGTAACTACGTAAATTAAACTATGTAAATTAAATTATTACCATTTCAAATCTTTGTTTTAAATTGCAGGTCCAAGATCTTGCTTTTGCTCATATCCAGAGTCAGGTTGTCCTGGCATGTATTGATGAAATGGGCAATTTCTATGTCCATGAGATACAGCTTACTGATAGTGGACTACGGTATGTAAATGTTTATTCACAGAATTTTAATTTCAGCAAAATAATATGCATTTGTTGTGTTCATTTCTATTCATCATCATCATCATCATCGTCAGGCGCAAGATGTCCACTGTTGAACATAGGCTTCCCCCTTAGAACGCCACAACGAACGACATTTGCATCCACTGGTTGCCTGCGACTCTTATGATGTCGTCGGTCCACCTAGAGGGAGGCCCTCCAACGTCGGTTTGTGGTTGCCACTCGAGAACCTTTACTCCCCATCGGTCATCAGCGATGTGGCCTGCATTTCTATTCTGCGTAAGTGCGATGTGGCCTTCATTTCTATTCTCCGTAAGGCAAAATTCCTTTTCTTTATTTTAACTGAAATGCCTAAAAAACATTGATCACTTTGATTTATCATGTGTGACAGATAATGTAGATATGATTAAATTTTTATCCAAATATGGATTTTAGCTTCAACTTGGTGGTAGAAGTTCGTGAAGACACTGGAATAGGGGGCACTACTCATCGTGTTGTGTGGTGCCCATATATACCTGATGAAGAAGATGACGCATCGGACGATGACGTTGCTAGGCTGCTGCTTACTACACATGGGAATGTCGGTGAGCGAGAACTTTTATTCACATTTTGGTGAAAATATGAAAGATTTTTATAATGTGTTTTAGGTTTTTTTTTAATCTAAGCTGACTTTATTTTTGATGGCATAGTTGATATATGATAGATTTACCGTCATATCCGCGGTCATGTGGTCAATATCCGCGATAGCGTTCTCTGACCTGATTCAGAAACATACTCATTTTTGTATAAGATTGTATTTCATAAGGATGCTGTTATACACAATCCCCGATTTCATGTTTCACCAATTACTTTGTAACAATCAGTGTCCTTTGAAGATTTCATTACTGGTTTGATGGCGCACTGATTGAACCGAAACGCGTGTGGTCCGCAGCCCGAATGTGGAACGTGCGCGCCGTGGCGGCGCTGGCGGCCCCCGGCGGGGTGGGGGCGGGGGCGGCGGTGGGGGCGAGCGCGGCGCTGGCGGGGGGAGGGGCGCGCGCGGCTGGCGAGCACTCGGCGCCAGTATTGGCGGCCGCCTTCTCGCCGGACGGCACCGCCCTAGCGACCGCCGCCGCGGACGGATACGTCATGTTCTTCCAGGTGGCCACAGTGTGTTTATTTTCTTTTTTATGTTACACTCTCACACACACACACACACACACACACACGCGCGCGCGCGCGCGCGCACGCACTGAGTGTGCACCCGGAGCGTGTGTGTGTACAGTTTATAGTTGTCGGCAGGTCTTCACGCAATGAGAGTAGTGTACATAATGGTGTTAGTCTTGCTCCCGATACACCAACAATGTTTGTTTTATTTTTGAGTTGTTGTATTTTATAGAAAAGAAATTGAAAAATTGATAAACTATCATATTTACCTGGAGTCGAGGCTCATCGCGTGAGCGTGTATGATGGTTTGGTCGAGATATTCAGATTAGCAAAACAGCATACTACACACAATAAATACTTATCTAGCTTAAGGATGTACATATTAATTCTTATAATAAAACAATTTATATTACGTTTATTAGTCTTCAGATCCATGTTTTACTGGCTGTATAACTAGACTGGGTAGTACTTTCCAAAATACAAACATTTTTAGTTTAGTATGAATGATTATAAAGATGTTTTTTTAGTTAAGTGCAGCAGTTAGTTACTTGAAGAGTTATTATCAACTTTACAGGTGTACATGAACAATGACAGCAACCCACGTTGCCTGCACAAATGGCAGCCGCATGGTGGGAAACCACTTAGTTGCCTGTTCTTCCTTGACAACCATAAGAACTATAACACAGAGTAAGCTTTCTTATGTTCATACGCAAGCATTTAGAATTCAGAATTCGGCCTTTGTTGAATTAAATTGCTATCTATATGCAGACTGAACTGAGAAGAACCAGCCGAAGCTCTGTAGGTATCCTCGAGATTTTAGATAAATAAATATTTCTCAACACATTTTTACACAATGTTATATAGTCCCAATCTAAATAAATGCCCATACTATTGATAATTCATAAACATACTCTTTTGTAAGTAAATGCATATTGTAAGCATAAAAACCCAGAGACTACAAAAACAGTGTTCATCACACAATATTTTTCTAGTAGTGGGCATCGAACCACATGTTTACACTTTATTCAGTTTGGATGACATTGTGTAAAGAAAGAAGAATATTTGTAGTGATACTCCTGCTGTCATATATTTCTTTTTCTTATAAATATCAACACCGAACTTCACTCGGAGATTGTTTTAGATTTTTAATGTCAACTTTGTCTTTAGGTATGCACAAGAATAGTGAATAGTTCATGTGTCTACTATGTTACAGATTTTTTTTGTACTATAAATATATAGGCCTAAAGTAACGAATTTTGCTTTGCAGTGTGCAATTTTGGAAGTTCGCCGTGACGGGCGCGGACAACAACACCTCGATAAAGGTGTGGTCGTGCAAATCGTGGAACTGCCTGCAGAGCATCAGCTTCTCGCCGGCGCTGGGCGCCGAGCCCGCTCCGCTGGGCCTCAAGGCGATGCTCGACACCAGCGCCAGCTATTTGCTGCTCTCCGACTTCAAGGCGCGCAGCCTCTACGTCCTGAACATGGCCAGGGACGCTGACGACTCGACGGCGTACTGCAAGAGCATATCGGAGTTCCTCCTGCCGTACCCAGTCCTCAGCTTTTGCATCGTGGACGCTGGTGAGGACACACTTGAATCGTGTTCATCGATTCTGGTTGAGTTTATGGCTTAAATTAATGGTGATATTGCAGAAGAAGAGCTGGTCAAGTGCGAGTCCAGCTGCGATGACCCGTACCACAGGAATGGCTCCGGCGGCGATATTGGCGATTCCCCGGACGATTTTGATATGCACCATGACGTAAGCAGTTCCATCTCCTGTGTGCTTTGTGGTGTATAAGTAAAAGTGTTTAATTGTAACAGGAAAATGACTCTGTATTGCAGATGCTAACATTGCTCTCAACTTCTTACTAGTCAGTTGTTGATTCGATTCCCATTCGGTACAAGATATTGCGTGACCCTTTTTTTTTTATTGTTCTAGTTCTGGTTGTATTCATAGATGTGTAAATTGTTTTGTCGATGAATAAATGATTTTGATTATGGTGACTGTTGTGACAGGACGGGGGTGTGAATGAATGCGGCGGCGGCGGCAAAAGGGTGTGCCTGCGGCTGTACATCGTCCAGCCCAAGGGGTTGCAGGAAGGCGAGCTGGTATACTCGCCGCCGCAGGAGGCGCAGCGAGACCTCTTGAGCAGTGAGTATTCGATCACGGAGCACTTGCAAGGCTTTTCATAGTGCACTGGGATTGTGTCCTCGTCTTCGGTGAATCTGACAGTGTACTCGTAAAATCCCATTGTTTTGTCTTTTTATCTGTGAGAAGGTCGCACCTGATGTTAACTGATAGACATCCATTGACATCGGCGCAAACTTGTGTCTTTTTGTGGTTGAATTGCGACGAGGTTTAGTCGACCCCAGTCTGAGACTTTGCTTACCAAAGTCTCGACCTCAGACACAAGCTTGTTCCGGTTCTCGTAGACGTTTTCCCGAGAAATGTTAGCTCGGCCAGTGTACGAGACATCCACAGTGCTATCGCCTGCATAACAATGGACGTTGCTGATTTGCAACATGTCATTGTTATGCAGAAGAAACAGAGTAGGAGACAGTACGCAGCCTTGTGGAACACCAGCATTGACAAATTTACCATCGGAGCATGCACCGTCGACGACGACGACCTTGATGCTCCGATTTGCCAAAAAGCTGGTGATCCAATTGTATAATTTCGGGAAGCCCATAGGAAGGTAGCTTCGAAAGAAGCGCTTTGTGCCATACCCGATCAAAGGCATTCGATATGTCCAGACGGGCTGCAAGCGCCTCCCCTTTGCTCTCAACTGTTTCTGCCCATCGATGTGTAAGGTAGATAAGAAGATAGAAAGCCATACTGGCGGTCGCTAATCAGCCGGTGCTCCTCTAGGTACCGCAGGAGCTGGCCGTCGATAACAGACTCCATTATCTTGGAGAACAAGGAGGTGATGGCTGGAAGGATGATAGGCCTGTAATTGGACGGATCAGAGCGGTTGCCTTTTTTAGGGATCGGGTGCACTAACGCGGCCTTCCATGATTTCGGGACTACGCCTAAAGTATAGGAGTGGCGGAAAAGACGCGTAAAAACCGGCGCCAACTCTGCAGCACATGTCTGTAACACGATCGGAGGGATGCCATCGGGCCCACTCGACTTGTGAATGTCCAAGGGAAGAAGTGCTTTGCGAACTGCAATTTGTCGAAATTTTACCTCCGGCATCGTAGCGTCGCTCTGGGGGATTGATGGTTGTGAGTTTCCTCGGTCATCCAAAGTCGAGTTGGACGCAGAGAGAGAGCCCAGAAGATCGAAGTTGTTCAGTAGATCTAGAACACAGAGGGAAAGTTTAACTGGTACAATAACCGCATTTAAAACTGGTAGTATTAGGCACAACGTTTTTATTATTAGCAGGTCTTGACGAGTTGACTTTGGAGGATCCAGGAGAAGAGGTGACGTCACCAGCGATTTCTTCAAGCATCCTGCAGCAACAGAGCCAGCAGCTCAAGAATCTTCTCATGAGGAGTCAGGTTTGAATTCATATCTGTACAAATAAGGGCGTTGTATATGTATATGAATGTACTTTGTCACAAAAAATGTATAATTTGTCACAGAGTGAAAATTGCAGAAAAAGTAAATAGATATCGTAGACCTTGTGGCATTTCACAATCTTTTTATCAAAGTAACTTTGTTAAAACTTACATATTTCAATGAATGAACCATTAATATCAAGAAATTATGACTCACTCATATCAGTATCATTATTTTGTGTAACATTTTAATATTATATTTTTCATAGGAGTGCAACAACAAAATGTATGTATATATATATATCCAGAAATGTTATTTTCGATAAAAGTAATTATAAAAATTTGCGAGATAATTTGAATGGTTATAATCTTAATAAATCTTATCTTAAACCTAAATCATGAAACAGTTGGGACATTTGTATAAAAAAGTAAAATAAAATATCAGCCTATAAAAAGGCCGCCTCTGCAGACGGGGTATCAGGCCACAGTCCACCACGCGGCCCCACTGCGGATTGGCGGACTTCACATATCTTCAAAATATATTTTCTCATTATTATTTCGAAAACGTGCAGTTTTCCTCAAGATGTTTTCCTTCACCACGTGATAATTCAGCACTTAAAATTGACAATTCCATCGGCGCTGGCACCGGGAATCGAACTCGGGTTGCTCGCGTGTATTGAAGAGGCGAGCGCCCAGACACTGAGCTATCACGGCCCTTGGTGTGTGTGTGTGTGTGTGTGTGTGTGTGTGTGTGTGTGTGTGTGTGACTTGTATGTGTGAGTCGAGTTCAGCGTCCGCGCAGACGCAGCCCGGCAGCCTGATGGGGCCGCGCGCCGAGTCGCCGCCCGCAGCCGGCGCGCCCCACCACCTCAACCTCATGACGCCCGACGCCTTCAGGTAGCTCCCGGCTTGAGTACCAACACGCCCTAAACAATTACTTTTAAGCGTTGTGTCCATTGGCAACGGTTCACATCTACCATCAGTTCCATTGAAAAGAACATCTGCAGCATCTCTTATTATGTCATGGAAAGAATTATTTCAAGATCTATTTCCATGGGATCTCATATTTTTTTAAAATAAAGTAAATGAGTATAGCAACACTTAATTACACTTGAATAGATTTCTTTATTCTGCAGGCAGTCTAGATCGAAAAAAAGTCAAATGGGACAGACTTTGTTAACATGCAGTTTAGTCGATTTCCATTCGGGTAAACTAGGAGAATTAGAATAGCTGTTGATACTAATATATAAGAGAGCGTTTAACTACGCGGTAATTAAAACCATGAGCATCTTATTACGGCTTAAACATATTTCAGCTCGCCCGGTAAACGCGAGGAGGAAGACCCGCCCCTCTCTGCCACGCCCGACGTCGCCAACAAATCTCGGACATCCACTAACGGTATGCTTCTTTGTCGAGTTACTTCGTTCTTCTGGCATCAGAATAAGCGAACTCGCCTTATCCCAACCCCAAGAGTGATTTTTTGGTTTTTTCAACGAACCAATAGTTTGGGTATCAAAACATCTATCATCAAGTGTTAAGACTTGCCTTGACTTTAGTTGCCGATTTTTTCACGTGTTGAAATCTGGTCTGCAAAAATCATAATTGTTTGTCAAGATTCTTTTTTCTTTAGTGTGTTTTATTTACTTTAAATATTCAACTTCTATATAAGAAACTACACGACTTAAAATCACGGCAAAAACTAACACGTCCAAACGCTACACACAGAGTGAGTGCGAGCGAAGCCCAGCGAGCGATTGTTTTTACAATGCAATGCTAGTTCCCGGTATATACATATACCACTATGAAAAGAAATGGTTTATATTAGTGATAAAATTCGACCTTAGACATATTATGTCTATCTCCTTGTACTCGGTATTGGTATATTATATGCTTGTATTTTACAGGTGCAGAGGAAGTGGTGAGCGTTTCCGGCGAGGTGAAACCGCCGTCAGGAGGCTCCAGTCCCAGCCTGGAGGTGCAGCAGATCATGTCCCACAATGACGAGCCCTATTACAAGGATGATATGGTAAGTAAAGTCCCAAGTGGACACCGCAACAGTGTAGCAAATGCGGTAGTGTGAAGCAATATTAAAATAATTTAATATTAAATTTGAAGACTCTTGTTTAATTTCACATGGAGTCTTATAAGAGTCTATTCCACTACCTGTTAATAGATCTGAACTTGTTAAAAGTGTAAATTAGAAATTATAAATATCTAGGATTCTGTGATCATCATCATTTCAGCCTGATTGAGTCCACTGCTGAACATAGGCACACAAACTGCCACGAAGCATGATCCTGACATAATGACATATTTTAGTTATTAGTTGTATACTAATTTGTGTATATAGTGAAAGTTATTTAAAGTTTTAAAATATAAATAAAATACAAAATATATGTGAAATATGCTGGTATTTTCTTTTCCTCCTCAAGTTGTGATTAACCTCTTTGAACAGAGTTAGGAATGAAGATAGGATAGGGCAGTTAGTCCCCAATCGCTGCGAAGTACAAGGTCTATTTTAGTCTTCCCTTCGAGTTAGCCTGCTCCAAAATATAAGCCCTATCAAAGTTGATGGTCCATAGGTACCTACTGTCTAACGATGTCTGTTTTCAGGAGGAGGGTGAGCAGAGTCCCGAGGGCGCCGGTGACGAGGACTGCGAGGAGCCTGCGGGGGCGGGGGGGGGCGGGGGCGGGGGCGGTGCGCCCCTCCACCTGCGGCAGCGAGCCCCTCTTCCCCGCCCCCGAAATGCCGCCGCCCCCCCCAGCCAAGCTTACACACAGCAGTAGGCTTACTTTAACTTTACCTTTTTGAGGTTCCGTACCCAAAGGGATCTTATTACTAAGACTCCGCTGTCTGTCTGTCTGTCCGTCTGTCACCAGGCCGTATCTCATGAACCATGATAGTTAGACAGTTGAAATTTCACAGATGATGTATTTCTGTTGTGACTATAACAATAAATACTAAAAACAGAACAAAAAATGTATTTAAGTGGTGTGAGCCCTACAACAGACGTGATTTTTTTTGCCGTGTTTATAGATAGTGGTACAGAAGGGTCGCAGCACTTTGAAGGGTCGTTAATACGAGATGTTGGCCCCTCCACTAGCTCCTTGGGATACAATAAACAGTGTAGTCAATGTTGCGATATATTGTATTTGGTAAGCGGTGGCACAGCACAGAAGCAAATAGGCAATACATAATAATGTAAACATAGGTTTGTATTAAGTAGCGGGTGGTGATAAAGAGGGCGAGGAGCGCGGGAAGCTCGCTTATATACAACGTGTCGTTACCATAGTGACAATAAATGAATAGGGGATAACTTTTTAAAGTTTTATTAAACATTTAAATTCTTTAAAAATCAATATTTACAGTGTTATTAAATTTTCCAAAACAAAGAATTTTAGAACACCCTTACCTATAAAAGCCTAACATAAAGTGCATTTGTAAAGGTCACAAAGCAAATGAATGGGTTGAATGAATTTAAAAGAGACAAAACTTACTATTAGAAGAAGAGGCTTGTAATACGACGCTGTGGCGCGAGTTGTATAGGATGTTACAAATTTTGTTTCTTTTTTACTTAATTAGTTTGTATGAAAAATATTTTTTTATTATGAATTTTGTTTAACGTTAATATTTTTTTATGATTATTGGCAAGTAGCGTTAGACGTGTGTTCATTTATTGTCACGATGGTAACGACACGCTGTATAATTGAATATAAATATATTTGAATGGCCGTCATAAATGAACTCCTTTATTGCACTTATTCAATTAAATTATTCAATTAAACTTCACTTAAAAAAAAAAAAACAAAATGTATTAATGTGATGTTTATGTTGTTGACCTGGAGAGAGTCTAATCGAAAATGTTTTTTCTCCGCAGACAGCGACACTTCGTGGCCGCAGATCTCGCTCGCGCAGATCACGGAGGCGAACCAGCGCAAGGCGTCGAGCGACAAGTCCAGCAGCCAGAGCCTCAACGCGCCGCTTAGCGCACCCCTCAGCGCTCAGCTCGTCGCCCCGCTCAGCGCTCCGCTCAGCGCTCCCCTCATCGTGCACGACGATGCGTCCCGCACGCGACTCGAAGCTCTAGAGCAGAAAATCGATAAACTCACTGGTTAGCGTAAAGTTATTTGTTAAACTTATGTTCCTAATTCAAAAGCCACGATGTGGGCCTCCCGCTAAAGAGAGGGCGTCGTTCGCAGAGCTGGTGGCGGCGCAGTCGCGCGAGGTGCGCGAGGTACGGCTGCTGCGGGCGGAGGTGCGGGCGCAGCAGCCGCAGCGGCTGGTGGCCGAGGCGGTGGCGGAGGCGGTGGCGGCGCTCGAGGCGGCGCTGGGCGCGGGCTGGGAGCGCGTGGCGCGCGCGGGCGAGGCGGCGGGCGGGCGGGCGGCGGCGGCAGCGGGCGTGGGCGCCGCCAGGGCGCTCGAGCCGCTGGCCAACGCGCTGCAGCACGAGCTCGCCGCCAAGCTCTCCGCCACCGACCGCCTGCTGCGCGACAACATCGACAAGCTGGCCAACAGCAAGGTGCGCCCACGCCCACGCTCGAGCCACGCTCGACGAGCGGACAGACAGTATGGTGTGTTTGCAGACCGTGATGGAGCGGCTGAGCACCGCAATAGCGTCGTCCCTGTCGGAGATGGTGCGCGATTCGTTCCGCGAGGCGCTGTTCGAGAGCGTCGTGCCCGTGATGGAGAAGGCGCACGCGCAGATCTTCCGCCAGATCAACCAGGCCTTCCAGAACGGCACCAAGGAGTGTGAGTCCTCCGTCTATTCTCCTCCACCTTTCTTTTCTTTTAGCCTTAGAGCGAATATTATCTATTGTACGGTTTTTATTTTTTAGAAAAACAAAGCCCTTATTGTAGGGTAACGTTATCCTATGTTGGAGGGACGTTTTACGTACATAAATTGTACATAAAAAAAAGTTTTTGTGGGTGCGAATATGGAAGACTTGCGTTCGATCCCCGCGGCGAGCAACTTTTCGCGCACGTTTTTCTACAGAATTAAATGTTTTCTTACCTCGATATGAAAATTGTGGATGTCAAAAAATTATAGATTATAAGAGGTTCAATAAGAGCTTAAATAAAGAAATTTTAAATTTTCCTTGAACGGGACTTAGAACTGAAATGAGGCCTATATAGAATAAAGAGATTTTGACTCTGAGTTGATCCGCAGTCGCCGCGAAGACGGAGGCGGCGGCGCGCGCGGCGGCGGAGCGGGGCGGGGCGGCGGGCGCGGAGCAGCTACGCGCCGCGCTCGACCGCCACGCGGAGGCGCTCGCCGCCGCCACCAGCGCCCTCAACGCAAACGCCAACGCCTACGCCGCGCCCGCCATCACCGCCACGCTGCGCGACGTCGCCCACGGGTGGGCGGTGCTCATTTCCTAGAAAAGTTGCCAGGCGAGCAGGTGGTACACCTGATGTTAAGTGAATACCACCGCCCATGGACATCTGCTACATCCGAGGGTCGCAGGTGCGTTGACAGCCTTTTCGGAAATTAGGCTCCGGCTACCTCGCTCACCAGACGAAACGGGAAAGTATTAAACTTCCGCTTTCCGCCGGTCTTCTGTGAGGTAGAGGATAGTATCTGTCAACAGACGTGGTTTGCTTTCAGACATGATTTTTTTGCCGTTTTCATAGATAATGTACGGATAACGTGTGTACGGTTCCCTTCCTGCCCGAGTACTACTTGCATTTGGCCGGTTTGTTTGTCTATGCTTATCAGTGGACTCCTAACAAGCTGGAATCATGATGATTGTCTGTTTCGTCCAGTCTTTTGTACAAATTTTAATGAATAAACTTGTTTCAGCTTAAGTGCAGAGATTAGGACTATAAAAATAGTTTGTTAATGAATATCATTTCCAACTGTTTTAGTGTGTTGGAGAAAGAGATGGCTTGGTGGCGAGAGCAGGCGCGAAACGTCGCCGTGCAGATGTCGCGCGCTCATTCTCCGGCCACGCCAGGCTCACATGCCATGGACAGACAGGTGCCAGCCCATCCCGTTAATCCACCCCGTTGTATTGTATTTTGTGTGAAAGTGACTTAGAAGATGTATCATAGTCTTCGCTGCGAAGAAAGCCTTGACAACCACTGCTAGAAAATGTAGAAAATACCGCCTTACTGTAGCATAGCAATATCCTGTGTTCAAAGGAGGTTATACTTACATGAGTTTCACGTGGACAAACACCCAGATCCGAAAGAATTTGCTGTGGGTCACACAAGTAGTTGTCCAGTACTGCAAAGATATCCTTGAATCCTATAGGTACTACTCTAGTCCTACTAACATAACATGCCTTTGCAATTATTCATCCTTTAGCATTCCTAATGTGTAGAGATCATTATCGCATAACTTTTTGTTATTCGGTTTGAGACAGACAGCACTAGTTTCTGTCTCTTTTTAAAAGTTATTATTAATGTAAAATTCATTTATTTTTAAAGTATGCATAAGCCTCTATTTTTAATCCAAGTACAACAAACCACATAAATAATAAATTATTAATACTTATACTTAACATTTTCCATTAACAATCTTTAAATCCATTAGCTTTGCCAATACTTATTGTGGCATAGTGATTCTCTATGTGTTATACCTGCTAATTTAGAGTCTGAATTGTTAGACTACTTCTTTCTGAATCAATATTGTCAATTATAATTATAAATATTTTTTACAGAGATCTCAACGTAACACTCCACGAAACTGCATCCAAGAGTCTTTACCATTTTTACTTCAAGTACATAGTTTGGCTAAATTTTAATTGTTTTTATTGTACTAATAATATTTGTATCATAGTAATTGTTTTAATTGAAATAGATTTATAACACACCATTCATATTTTCATATATTTACTTTAAGTAGATTAGTTTAATAAATATAAACTAGGTTTAGTTCAATTAAGTATACAAAATTTATTTGATTTATCCTAAGTTTGTATATCGTATAACATCACACAAAATAAACTTTTATAATTAGAGTAATAAATAATACTAGAAGTAACCTTTTAATACTGCACTAGAACCAAATCGCGATTCCGTATACAAACGTGGTTTGCTTTACAACACCATATTATTATAATAAATCTGCAACATACATACTGAAAGTTTAGTAGCAAGGTAGAGGTCTTTCTATCCAAGAGTCCAATACGAGAAAAGTAGCTTTGCGTTAATAAAAAACATCCAGGAACAAATATGTAATTTCCGAAATAACTGATCGCGAGTGTGATAGATGTGTACATCTACCAAAAATCCCAACTTTCTGTTGCACTAACGGGCAGATCCATCCTAAGTGTAACTTGTATACTTCTGCGTTTTGTCTGGTGAGTGAGGTAGCCAGGGCCTTTATTAGAAGGCAACATACGGGTGTTGCAAATGTCAACGGGCGTCGGTTATCACTTAACATCGGGTGAATCAACAACTTGTTTGCCACAATCTTTTGTTTCTTTCTTCTCGTGTGTGGTTAAAACAGCCGTCTATCGTGCAGATGCAGGTGGCCCAGATCCAGTCGCTGATGTCGGGCGGGGACGTGAACGGCGCCTTCCAGTTGGCGCTGTCCGCCTCCGACCTGGCGCTGGTGGTGGCGGCGTGCAGGGCGGCGGAGCCCGGCCGCGTGTTCGGCCCGCCCTGCCGCCTCAAGCAGCACGTGCTGCTGTCGCTGGTGCAGCAGCTCGCCGCCGACATGCAGCGCGACACGCAGCTGAAGCACAGGTGCGCTTTTCTTCAGGGGGGCTCCGTACTAAAAGCGGTACACTATTATTATACAGGTGGCCGCCGGGGGGGTGTTTTAGTGGGTACGAACCCCAAATAACGCTCTCATGATGCATTGCCACCTTGTAATAAAGTGGCTCCGGGTTAGATCCCTCGCTAGATGAAATGCGGTAATGCAACACTTCGACTCCATGCCGGTCTTCTGCGAGGTTATGGGAGGGTTCCGTACTAAAAGCGATACACTATTATTATACAGGTGGCCACTGAGGGAGGATTAGTGGGTACAAACCCCAAATAAAGCTGTCATGTGTTGCGACCTTTTAATAAAGTGTCTCACGGTTACTTTCCTCGCTAGATGAAATGCAGTAGTACAAAACTTCCACTTCACGCTGGTCTTCTGCGAGGTCGTGATCCTTTCACGGAAGAGCCTGCCCATTCATGCAATAGCGACGTCTTTTGTGTGGATAGGTTTTGAATCTGAGACCATAAGTTAGGTCCAAACTTTACTTCCGATCAAATAAAATTACTGTATGAATGACCAATTATCAGGTACCTTGAAGAGGCCATAATGAATCTGGACACAAGCAACCCAGTAACAAGGGAGCACCTGCCAGGTGTGGTGCGGGAGTTGCAACAGCAGATCATGTCGTTCCTGGCAGCCAACCCCGGCCACGCGCTCACCAGGCAGTTCCGAATGCTCCTCATGGCCGCCGACTCGCTGGTGAAGAGCACCGTCTGACGGCACTGTCGCCACTGCGTCTGCGTCAGCTACTGGACTACATAAACGACAGACAGTGGAGTGTAGTGCTATGTGTTACAAAGTTTAAGACGTGCTATACGAGTTGCAGATTGACTACAGTGTGTTCACGTTTTGAAGATGACACTAGATTATTATTACTAGCATTGTCTACTTTACCCAGCAGTCTGGCCCTCTGACCTACTCTCTGTGTTGCTTTCTTTGAAGTGAGCTCATAAGATAAAGTCAATTTCTCCATTGGAATTAGTCAATCAAGATATGTCTAACAATAGGTTGCTAACAGTCTAAATAAGGCTGCAATTGCTAATAGCTTGGAAAAGTACCTATTAACAATTTTAACAATGACAAATTTGTTTTGTTTAAAAATGATGCAACATAATTTTTCTAAAATTCACATTACTAAAAATAATGCCTTTGACAAATTAAGAAAGTTTTAGCTTTGTAGTAATATTATTGGAATCTATGCTGTGTTAATTTGTAATTTAAACCTAAAGGCATTCAGTTCCGATTGTTATAGCAATTAGAGTTATTACTTGATAGATCTATACCTTTTAGCTCATTACAAGCGCAAAATGAATTGAAGTAATATTTTTATAAGACATTTTGTTATAAATGTTGAAAAACTGAGGGATTGCATTATCTTAAGCTTTTACTTTATTGATATTGAGTAATTACCTAGTAGAAGGATAATAGCTACAATAAATTTCATATAACTCCTAAATTTATTGTCCGTATAACAATTTATCTAGTTTATATAAAATAGGAAAAGAGATACTCAATTACTCATTAAAATATTTATAATGTTCCAATATATTTTGTAATCATGCTGCAATACATTACATTTGGTATAATATGTGTACAATGAAAGTATATAAGTGAGTGAGAGAATGATGACCACTTTAACCTCCGTAACTCCGGCTGATTTTTCTAATAATAGAGGATTTAATAATAGCATTGAGGGAGTGACTATTATTCTATTAAATGTTAAATTATAGTTATTAATTGTATAAACTATTTATAATTAGTGTCATAAGTCAAGACATACTGCTGAGTTTGGTAATTTAAACTGTCATTTACCCCTCTATAGTAAGTGCTTGCATATTTCATGACAGAAAGGGCCACACTTAGAAGCATCAATTAGCTCCTCTTGAATAACAACGAACTTTACTCTTGAACATCTTCTTAGATTTAATTTGACAAATAAACACATACAATTTGCACACACATAGACTTTTGAGACACCTGTCTCTGAGTGTGTTCAAAAGTCTGTTGTATTACTATTACCTCTTGACAACATCGTAATATTTGACTGATTGTAATTGTCTTAGATATGAAAAGGAAATGACTAAAAAGGTGCCGTAAAGACTATGAATCATAACCTAATGCCATGTGTTATAATATTAAATTGCTATTAAAAGAATGTTTAATTTCTGAAATGTTTTCAAAAAGTATTAAAATTATTTGAACAAATATCATAAATGGCTTTGAGATATATAAAATAGATTTTATATAAATTATTTATATATAAAATCTATATTTTGAGATATATAAAATATATATTTTATATATCTCAAAACTAATAACAAAAACTAATTAGTTCTATCATAAATTTATTAGGATAACACTTTGAATTTGTTAAAATGTTTATTTAATTTTCATATTTAGTGCGCTAGCACCAGTCAATAAGATGAACCTTAATGAGTAAACCCTTTTTTTTAATAATCATATGCAGTTTTCTTTTATTATTTCTTACCCTCTTTCCTTAAAATAAATTGTGATCATGAAATCTGACACCTGGTTTCTGAAACACTGACCATTGTAGAAGTTAACTAATCATTCTGATCATTAAGAAGATCATTCTGATCAATTCAGATAGTTAAACAATCCTTTTGGCGACTAACATTTGAAGCCATTTGACAGTGATTAGTCACTCAGTTATTAAGAGAATAAAAATCGGTAAAAAAACTTTTAAGTTAAACGGTTTTATTTTTTTTTTTTTTTTTTTTAATTTTTTTTGTTAATATTGTCATCTAAATTAAATGTGTGTACCAAATTTCAGATCAATCTGACAACGGCAAGGTGCTTAAATTTCAATTGCTAATTTTGACCCAAACAAACAAATTCCGTACGGGTCGAGCTAAATAAAACCGTTTAAAAAAGTATGTACATAATAGTATATTGTTGTTTATCTGGTATACAGGAAGATTTTTGAGAAGTGCCCAACTTTACACAGGAGGTTTAAATTCGGTCGTATAATTGTTTATTGAAATAAAAATCAAAGTTTTTTTTCCAAAAAAAATTCCTTTCTATTCCCTAAAAAACAACGTGTTGACAATGCGGTAGTCATTCATAAATACCTAAATTTTCCAGTGCACGAACTTGTATGCGTGTTAGTTATGAATGATCGCGCGTAAAATAAATGAGTTGTGTACAAATCACGCACTTTTTTAGATAAGTTCGAATGAATGTAATCAATTACTTACAAGTGATTTTAAATATTTATCATTTTTTATAGAACATTATTTATGTCTAGAATTTAATAAAAAAATGGATACACTAAGAAAAGCCACCCTGTATATGCGATTTCAACTTACCGCTGTGTAGTGTGATTTTAAATAAAAACAAAATGTTTCTTGTAGCAACAATAACACATCTCACATACAGGGCAAAAATGAGGTATAAATTTTTCCATAATAACTGTTACGCTGGACGACGCAACAGTGTTCATTGTTGCGCGAATGGGCAGGTCTATCCAAGTAAGTACCACGACCTCACAGAAGACTGGCGTAAAGTAGAAGTGTTACAATTCTGCGTTTCGTCTGGTGAGTGAGGTAGTAGGGGCCCACTTTATTTAAAGGTGGCAACGCAGGTGTAACAAACGTCCATGAGCAGCGGCTATTACTTAACATCTGGTGAAGACCCGCTTGTTTGCTACTTTGTCACATAAAAAAAAACTTTAAAAAGAAAAATAATTAATGTCTCTTGCTGGGATTGATTACTGTGAGTTGTTTCTATTGGGTACAATGCAAGTTGCCTTCTATAATTTATTGAAAGAAAAGTATTAATCTTTAAAAGCATCTCTTTTTAAAAGGTTTTGATAAGAAAATTGAGTTTGCCTCAATGTTAATTAAAACAATCGGGATTAATAATAAATATTTGAGGAAGTATAAATTATGCATAAAACTTTATTATTGACTAGGTGGTAAGTTGAAGGTAATTGATAACAAAAAAAAAAAATTATATACTTAAACAAATACTTTATTATTCTTTCTTAACTAATTAAGCAAAGATTTTTGTTTATAACTAAATATGATTTTCATTGCTAAAATATGGTTTGATGTTACATACAGTCCATTTATCTTATCCTCAGTTTAATGGGTCTATGTGATTGATTATAAAAACTAATCTATTAAAAATTAATTAGGAGTAATACTAATTAACAAACAGTAGCTAATAGCTAATGGCTTCATAACAGAATAGCTACTGGGTAAGTATACTTCAAATAATACATTTACTTTTTTAAATAAGAAATTTATTTTTTAAAGTATAACTTAATTACAATTAAACAGTATGCATTACCTATAGGACCTCTTTCTTTTACAGTCTGTTTAAAAAACAACTGTATCTATAATTTTAGAAGGGTGCATTTATTTAGATTTAGTACTACTATATACTTAGAGCAATGATATTATATACAAAGATATTAGATTAGTACACCGAAATTGAGGCACTCAAATTGCACTAATTAGTGTAATTTAGATTGCAATTCTATAGACTGCTATTTCTTTCCATATCATATGTCCTATATCATCTGTCACAGTCCATTAATGCGGGACAACTTTAAACACCGCTCCATATGGGCATGCATCTTTTAAACATCATTGATATACACCCAGTTTCTCAAACACTGATCATGTATTTTAATAAATGTCTTATTTTGCACCAAAACATGAGTTAATCATGCAACATTTTAATAATTAATCCAGATTCACATTTAATACCAATGTTTAACCATTACACATACATAGCCATTACTTTTTATAGATTTATCAGCACAAATCAGATTCACAATAAAAGAATCACATATTTATACACAGTCATATAGTTAGTAAGTATACATTATTTAATGACTCCACCAATTTTGTTACACCGTTTTTCAATAATTAAATATTACACTTCAATAAGTCTATATTTTTAACTAGGTACATAGTACATGGCAAAAGTATTTTACGTAGAAAGGTTTTCAGAACATATTGTTGCTTTATTTAGGGTGGGATGAAAACCGAGACTCCTGGAGGAAAATAGTAGACACCACCACTCTTGCCTATCAAAAGCAACAGTAACCGACTGTTGTTAGATACAACATTTGAAAATGAAGAGTTTTAGTGTGGAGGAAATGGCAAATCTGTGGATATTTGACTATTGCAAAAACCTTAAAATGGAATTATGTCATGAGGTTTTTTATAAACATTCCATTCTATGCCTTCTGTTTGAAAATTGCACCAGTGATGGTGCCATGTCTTTGTACTAAGCACAACTTCTTATCTGTCTCCAAACAGACGGTAGGTGGCTTTAGATTCGGTTGTATTTTGCATGCTTGCTCTGAAATAGCCACGATTATCCCAGCAGAATCTACGTGGGCCGTTCCTTTTGCAGCAAGACAAAGGCCTTGATGGTCTGCGACTAGGCATCCATTGACATTAGGCGTAGCCATTATTTCTTCAACTACTTTATCCAGGTCTTTTTCCATTATTATTTTAACGTTTATATGATGGAAAGATTAAAAAGGTAGTTCCAAAAACTGTTGCGTAGGCCTGAAACACTCGTGGGACTTGATTTGATTGATGTTGTTGTTGACACAAAAACATAGAAGATTAGAAAAATAGTCATAAAGTGTCATATGTCACTGTCAGTAATACCGAAGGCGTGAATCATAGACGTCACAAACCGTTTTTTTTTTGTACATAATCATAATGTAA